TCCGTGTGACTTATTTTAATTTGCGATAAACGCGTCGCTTCTTGAATAGAACTGGTTGCATCTTTTTATCCGCGGCGATTATTTAGTCGCATATGCGCGCATTTGGATTAAAAAACTTGTGTTTCATTTTTACGACTATTTATTTAGTCGCATATGCGCGCATTTGGATTAAAAAACTTGTGTTTCATTTTTACGACTAAACGATCGTGCGACCGAAAATCGCATGCGAGCGCCTGGCCTTATTGACTGGCGCTGATTCACCTGTCGTACTATCTTCTTTGTCATTACATAACCACCGTGCCGATTTTGTCAAAACTTGGAATATAATGTATGGTCACAAGTTTTAAAATGGATGTAAGGGTGCTGAGTTAAGTAAAAAAGTTTTTAAAATTTTCGTATCTGTAGTTAGGTGAAAAACTGAAATAGAGAATATCGTGAAATAAGGCTTCTATAAACTATAAAGGATATGGTATGAATGCTACTGCAGGAGGGTATCATTATTAACTTTCCTCAACAAATCTGTAGACCAAACTAGTAATATAGCTTTCGTCCGAACGAGCACAGGCTTCCAACCATGGACAGCTGTTCTGTGCTGTTTGGCAACTCCTCAGGTGTAGGCTTGATCTCAGGTAGGACAGTGAACAAATATCATCCATCCGTCTATTGAAATAAGATAGTACAAAGTGCTATCTGTTACCAGAATCTACCAATGCGGACGTGAAAGCAACAGAGATGGCATTATTTTCTGTATTGTTTCGATAAATCTGTAGATGAGTTAATATTCTCAATTTAGGATTAGCTTTACTTGCCCAAGTAGTGACTACGAGCCCCTTCCCACTTCAGTTGGCCCAACTATTGAAATCTTAGTTTTTTTCATATCAAACAAATAATAAAAATGTAGCAGGGAGTTATAGGTTTAAAATATTAACAATGAATATTTTGATAATATATAGGAGGAAACACCAACTTTATCACTCCCTAATCAAATTTGCAGCATAAAAATAACACATGTTGCAATTACAGTATATCAACCTATTTTCATTTCAATGCAAAATAAGTCTATAACGCATAGGTGGCTGTGAAAAATAAAAGCCATGACAATTGTTTTTATTAATCACAGCTGTCAGAATACGTTTAAAATAGTTTTGGGTAGTTAAGGTTTTCAAAATGGGTATAGGAAAGGTTATTAGTGAGAAAATTCGGTTACTGATAATTAAATTTTTTAATTCTGGGAAATCAAACTCAGAAATTGCAACTTTGTTAGACTTATCGCGGTACAGTGTGATAAATATTGTTAGAAGATATAACGTAACTGGTTCAGTTAATATTAAGCCACGATATGTGAAAAAAAGTAATATCACAAATGCCGACCGAAGAGCATTAAGAAGAATTATCGTGAAAAACAGGCGGGCCAATTATTAACAATTAAGTGCTCTGTGGAGTGACGCTGTTGGAAAGAAAAGCCACTATTAACTCCACTGCAAAAGAAAAATCGGCTTAGATGGGCTAAAGAACATAGATAATGGACATCTCAACAATGGTGTGCAATACAATGGAGTGATGAGGCCCGATTCGAAGTTTGTGTTGGTGACAGTCGCAGTAGAGTTATTCGCAAAAAAATGAAGCATTCCATGTTGACTGTCTGAAGAGAAAAGTGAAATTTTCAGCATCCATTATGGTCTGGGGTGGTATGTCATCAAAAGGAGTAGGAAAACTTCATTTTATTAATGGAAATGTGGATACAAACAAATATTTGGCAATTTTAGAAGAATCGCTTTTACCAGTGATGGAAGAATGTTTGACATCCGGCCAAGATTTTGTGTTTCAGCAAGATGGTGCTGCGTGCCATACCTCAAAAAAGGCTATAAAATGGATGGAAGAAAATAATGTACAATTTTTGAAAGGGGTTTCTAGCAGTCCAGATCTGTTACCCATTGAAACTTTGTGGCACGAGATTAAAAAGGTTCTACGACAACATCCTGCTCGTACAATCACCGAACTGAGACAAAAGCTTCAAGAAATATGGGATTGTTTTACACCAAATGTTTGCCAAAACTTGGTTAACACTACGCCCCAAAGTATTTAAGCCGTAATAAGAAATAAGGGTGATGTTACCCAATAGTAATCTTTCAATTGTTGCTTTGTTAACTTCGCGCATTTATTCGCACATTGTTTATTTCTTCAGATGTTCTATTAGTTATAGATCTAAGTGATTACAAATATGTATCTCTTACGACTAGAGTGTATCTAAAATGTTTTTGAGAAAATAAATTGTTTTAGAAGTAAATAGTTTCGTCATGTTTAGTTTATAAAGGCATATTTTGGTACAAATCTTGAAGTGTGCCAACTGAAGTGGGAAGGTGCTCTTATATCCTGGTTGACATATTTGAATTGAAACTAAACGAGTACTTGTATAAAGTGAAATACTACTGTTTACAAGGATGCGTGAAATTGACGTCCAAGACTCCAGTTTTTAGTCGTTTTACTACGTTGTCTACACAATGTAGCAGAACCAAGTTCATTGTAAATATTTCCTCCAATTTCGTAACATATTCAACGCAGCTCCTAAAAGGCCCTATCAAGCTCCCAAATTGATCACGGCCTATTTTGGACATCTTAAGTAAAACTACGTATCACATTTTTGACACTGGTTCACTCGTGAATAATAGATAAATTTTGGATGGATCTCATTAGTCAATAACACCTCGATCTGAGCTCCTGTAGTTATAGTACCGTAAATATCTTCGCATCTGCTTAGAAAAATATTTTGAGTGTCGCACAATCTCATTAAAAAAAGTCCCCTTTTAACGAATCTGGATGTTGCCAAAACTGAAGTTGCGTCAAAAAATGTTTTCCTTTTTATTAAGGTTGCGCAAAAAACTAATCAAAATATTTTTCCAAGCATACGCAAAGATACTTCGTTGACTATTACCGCAGGTAAACAATGGGGGGATCGCATCCAAATGGCAGGTAGCATTTCAGCCACCAGAGGTATAACCTCAGCTACCGCGGCAGAATTTGTTTTTTCGACGGAGTGGTGGTAAATCTGTATTCTTGTGATGTATACAGGGTGTCCGCAAAGTTGGGGTTTTCCTTTTCAGAAACAACTACCCTTGAAATAACAAAGGTAATGTGTAGTGAAACGAGGGCGACCAAGTAAAAAAAATAAAGGAAAAAGTACTTACTCTCCAGTGACGAGAAGGACTAAGTACGTCTCTGACCGAAATCATACCGCTCCAACAGAAAATGAAATCAGCTGAAGGGCTACCGAGCAGACGCAGAAACCACATTGATTGTCTTACACTTAATGGCACATCTTCTAACAAGGAAGGCAAAATGTTGCGTGAAAAGTCTAGGTATTGCATCCCGTCCAATCGATTTGGGAGAATAAATGGTCCAATGAGCATACCGTTCACCATGCCAGCCCAAACATTCACCGAAAGTGTTTGTTGAAAATGACCAACATGAGTGTTGCGAAAGTTATTCACCCCATTACGCGTGAACGTAGATTCGTCTGTCACCAATATGCACTTCAAAAAGTCCGGATTATTGTCATGTTGATGCAACAACCACTCACAAAACCGCACTCTTGTTGGAAAATCGTCAGGTTGAAGGGCTTTTGTACACGTTGGACGTGAAACGGATACAGCCCCTCTTCACGCAGCGTTTGCCACACTTTAGTTTTTGATACTTGCACTTCTCTAGCCACGTCTCTAGTGCTTGTTGTTTTTTGAAACGCAATCGATTATACGAGTTCGTTTACCTCTACACGCGTGACTGTAACCGTCGGTTGAAGGTTGCATACTAACCTGACACACTGACCCCGACCCAGTTCTGCCGTCGGGTTGAGACCTTGTCCAGTCGGGGATATCCCGGCGGGTCGCGGCTACAGGACGGTATTCAGATATTTTTGATGTTGCAGAGCCCTTTATCTCGGTTCCCTTAAGACATTGGTGTATTTGGTACTAAGAAAAATTGCTTATGTTTTCAAGATCTACACGTCGTGTAAAGGAAAACACCAACTTTGCGGACACCCTGTATATGTTGATACTGCATCAATTTGGTCCGTGATATAGACAACACACAACAGGTTTTACAAGTAACTGCTAATTTTGTGAAGTATAAATAACAGACAGGTAGAAAATTGGATCAACAAATACGATTAGTGAACATTTGAGTAATGGCGGTTAGAGCTTTTAAAAAATGAATGAAAGTTGAATAATTTCCAAGCTTCGTTTTTGCAATTTCTGATTGTCTTGGATATATTGAAAGATCAGTTAAATTAGCAATCTATGATTTATTGAGCAGACAGAATGTTTTAGTGGGTTCAAAATTGCAGATTTTGTATACGAGGGATGTCTTTTAAGTTTTGCATATGGAAATAAAACAACACGGTAAGTTTATTCAAAAATATGCTATGGTCCACCCTATCGCACGCTTTAGCAAAATCGGTATATACTACATCTAGTTGACCTTGCCGATCGACACATTCAATAGCAAACTGAGTGAAGATTGTTAAATTAGTTACGGTGGATCTCTTAGTAAGAAAACAATGCTGAAAAGGGGACAGAGATCTATGAACTGCGGAGTAAATTCTGTTATACAATTGCCACCGCTCTATGTGTTGGTTTTTATAGTCAGATTGTATATTCTTAATAACGGCTTAACAAAGACATGAATACAATCTTTGACTATGAACGAGGGGATGTTGTCTGGGCCGTTACTCTATTCTTGAGTTTTTTAGATGCAGCAACAATCTCATTTCGGTCAAAATTACCCACAAGTTGAAAATTTGGAACATTGAAAGCAGCTAACAGTACGAGGGATGTCTTTTAATTTTTGCATATGGAGATAAAAAAACACGGTAGGTAGTTTTAAATGACTTTATTGTTTTTCGAAGTATTGTCCATGAAGATTAATATACATCTGCATGCGCTCGAACCAATTTTCGAAGCACTTATTCTACTCGTTTGCTGGCAGATCCAAAACGGCATTTTTGAATGCGTCAACTGCTTCTTCTGGTGACTGAAACCTTTGACCACCCAGTCTGTTTTTAATTTTCGAGAAAGTAAAGAAATCGTTAGGACTTAGATCGGGACTATATGGAGGATGGTCCAATAATTCAACGTTTTCTTCCGTTAAATACAGCCTTGTTTTTTGGGCTGTGTGCGAGCTTGCATTGTCTTGGTGGAGGATGATTCTTCTTTCGGGGTTGATTTTTCGAAGCTCGGGATGACTTTTGGCAAACAAATGGTGGTATACCAATCCGCAGTAACAGTTCTTTGCTCATTAAGAGGAATTGTTGCAATATGACCGCTTTTGACACAAATGTCGCGACCACCTTTTTCGAAACACTTTGAGAACGGATGACTTTTGTTAGCTTTTTTGGAACACCCAAACAGCCGACTGTCGTTTATTTTCTGGTTCATAACAGTAAATCCACGATTCATCACTACTAACAATGCTGTACACATTTTTTGAGTTTCCGGAATTGAAACGGTCTAGCGTTTTTTGACACCAATTAACCCTGGCTATTTTCTGCTCTTCAGTCAAGGGTGGGGTATCCAACGAGAAACTAATTTACTTACTCCTAATTCTTCATGTAAAATTTTTTGAATTGAGGTCTTTGAGATCTTCAAGAACGCCTCAATCTCGCGATATGTCACATGTCTATCTTCAATGATGAGTTTGCGCACAGCATCGACGTTTTCCTAGTTGACTGCCGTTTTTGGTGCACCCACCCTGGGATCGTCGCTAAGACTCACCCGTCCACGTTTGAATTGTTCATACCAACGAGAAATTGTCGACTGATGTGGCGCTTTGTTGCCGAAAACAGACAGTAACTCAGCAAGGCATTCTTGTTGAGATAATTGTCTATGAATGGCGCGAAAATGTTCTCGGTTGAGTTCCATTTTTCTAATGACTTGGTGACACTTAAAAATTCACTGTAGTGATAACACTGCACGTATCATTGCGAAACTTTGAATTTAAGTTTACTACAGACTGAGGTTAAGATTCAGTACTGACGTTCGATCCGCGCGGCATACTACGTTTCTATACGCAAAACTTAAAAGACATCCCTCGTATTTGTAGTAGGTTACCAAATAAAACAATATTAAGAAAAAAATGTATTATAACTATGAAAACTGCAGACATTCAACACTTGAAGCATAACCAAGTTTCATGAAATTCATCCTTGTCCTTGCCCCTGTCAGCAGTTTTTTCATATGGTATATGCCACATGCCATCAACTTTTTGTGCCGTTATTGTAAAAGCAGGAGGTATCCTGGAACAACAAATCTGTTCAATGGTCTATCCAAGAAATATTAGAAATATGTTTTCTAACCCCAAATTTTAGTCAGATCCAGGTTCGTCAATAGTCATCTGACTAGTAATACCCGTTCAAAAAAAATAGTAAGCTGGAAGCTCTCTCTGATTTGAGGCACATAAGCCTTCTTCCATTATTAACAAAAGTTCTGGAAAAATTAGGGCAGCAAGAAATAATCTAGTATGTTGAATCGTTCAGAATATTGCCAGAAAATCAATCGGGCTTCCGCAAATCTTACTTTACAACTACTGCTCTGCTTAATATGTAACTGATAATATAATATGAGTTCAAGATAAAAATATTGCCTCCATGTTGGTCTCGAATGATTACTCTACAGCATTCCACAAATTCAACCAGCAGCTGCTTCAAGAAGATACTGATGCAGTTTATAACTATTCTAATAAAGCACAATATGATAACTTCCTCAAACGTTTTATCCTAAAATTGGATTGGAAAGCACATAATTTAGTGATGAGTCATTTTAAGTACTAACTTAAGATTCAAAAGTTATTATATACAGGGTTGTCCCAGAAGTTGACGTCAAGCCGAAACCGGGTGATAGGCAAAGTCATAACAGCTATCAGAAAAATATTTAAAAAAAAATTATGTATGTGTTTTGAAAATTATAGGTCTTTGAAAAAAATATAGAAATTTCACACCCTACGGCAGTCTGTCAACTCCTGTTACTACAAATATTAACTTTTTTTGGATTTTATTTTTACAATGTAATGATGAATAATGCATCTTCAAACTCGTGTCTCAACCTTACTGCCAACTTTTCTCGTTCAGGAAAAATTGACACTTATTTCCCAACCAAGTATTCCAAAGTAAAACTTTGCTCAACTTTAACTGGCTGTACTGGAAAAAAATGTACTATGAGAGTTTGGCAAGTAACCTTAAAAGTTGGCGCATTTAATAAGGATTCCAAAATGGTACAACACTTAGAAGATTAGTCGTTAACTTATGCACAATTTTTATTTGGAAAAAAACTGATGAAAATTTTTCAAAATTTCCTAATTAAACAGCGATTATGAAAACGCACAAGGTCCCTTAAGGATAACTGTTTGCACAACAGTGGGCGTCAAAATGTTGCTGATGATGATCTACCTTTACAGCAAATGCTCAAACTGTTTTCCTTCAGCCGCAATACACGCTCGACATCTTCTTAAAAAAGGTCGGGTTATTAAACGAGCGAATTCACGGTTATTAACAAACTCAGCTGCTTCCAATAGTCTCTGCCGTAGCTCAGCTAGATTTTGAATCGGCTTGAAATACACTTTTTCTTTTACAGTTCCCCAGTAAAAAAATCTAAAGGATTCAAATCAGGTGATCGGGCTGGCCACGGTATTGTACCACACCGCCTTATCCATCTGCCTGGAAAGTTTTGATCGAGATACTCTCTCACTGAGAGTGCATAGTGCGCTGGGCAGCCATCATGCTGAAACCGCATGTCCCTGTAAATACTCAGTGGCACGTCCTAAAATAAATTTTCTAAATGATTTTGCAAAAAACCTAAATAAACCTCAGCAGTCAAAGTCTCTGGGAACTCAAACGGACCGATTATTTTACCATTTAAAATTCCTGTCCAATGGTTTATCTTGAAGCGATATTGAGATTTATCTTCTCTCATCAAATGTGGGTTTGCTACGTGCCACTCGTGTAAGTTATGCAGGTTCATGTACCCATCTTTCTTAAATGTGGTCTCATCTGACCATAAAATTTTTTCAAAGAACCGTGGATCTTCCCTGTGTCTTTCTAACATTGTGCGACAAAAAGCAACTCGGGGCTCATAATCCCGGGACAGAAGAGCTTGAACACGCTGTACGTGGTATGGATGGAGCACGTTTTTTTGCAAGATTCTATGGGCTGTACTTTTGGGCACACCTGTTTTTAGTTCTATTGCACGCACTGAAGTACTCGGGTCTTCTTCGACAGCTCCTAGCACCACGTCTTCGTAAGAAAGGAAAGATCTTCCCTCACCGTGTGATTGGTTTGGTAGTTGGCCCTCTGAGAACAGTAAGCGGTGCACATTTGTGAACACTCGATGATCTGAGTGACGAGCTGCATTCGGGTACCTCTCACAGTAAAGTCTCGCTGCAGCACTAGCGTTGAATCTGCATTCCCCATAAATGAGGTGCATGTTAGCATATTCTTGTACGGTGTACACGGACATAGCGGTACTGCACAATCACACTATCAAAGATAGTCTAAGGAACCACCACATTTAAGAAAGATGGGTACATGAACCTGCATAACTTACACGAGTGGCACGTAGCAATCCCACATTTGATGAGAGAATATAAATCTCAATATCGCTTCAAGATAAACCATTGGACAGGAATTTTAAATGGTAAAATAATCGGTCCGTTTGAGTTCCCAGAGACTTTGACTGCTGAAGTTTATTTGGATTTTTTGAAAAATCATGTACAAAATTTATTGGTGGACGTGCCACTGAGTATTTACAGGGACATGTGGTTTCAGCATGATGGCTGCCCAGCGAACTATGCACTCTCAGTGAGAGAGTATCTCGATCAAAATTTTCCAGGCAGATGGATAAGGCGGTCTGGTACAATACCGTGGCCAGCTCGATCACCTGATTTGAATCCTTTAGATTTTTTTACTGGGGAACTGTAAAAGAAAAAGTGTATTTCAAGCCGATTCAAAATGAGCTACGGCAAAGACTATTGGAAGCAGCTGAGTTTGTTAATAACCGTGGATTCGCTCGTTTAATAACCCGATCTTTTTTAAGATGTCGAGCGTGTATTGCGGCTGAAGGAAAACAGTTTGAGCATTTGCTGTAAAGGTAAATCATCATCAGCAGCATTTTGACGCCCACTGTTGTGCAAACAGTTATCCTTAAGGGTCCTTGTGCGTTTTCATAATCGCTGTTTAATTAGTAAATTTTGAAAAATTTTCATCAGTTTTTCTTCAAATAATAATTGTGCATAAGTTAACGAGTAATCTTCTAAGTGTTAAACCATTTTGGAATCCTTATTAAATGCGCCAACTTTTAAGGTTACTTGCCAAACTCTCGTAGTATATTTTTTCCCAGTACAGCCAGTTAAAGTTGAACAAAGCTTTACTTTGGAATACTTGGTTGGGAAATAAGTGGCAATTTTTCCTGAACGAGAAAAGTTGGCAGTAAGGTCGATACACCAGTTTGAAGATGCATTATTCATCATTACATTGTAAAAATAAAATCCAAAAAAAGTTAATATTTGTAGTAACAGGAGTTGACAGACTGCCGTAGGGTGTGAAATTTCTATATTTTTTTCAAAGACCTATAATTTTCAAAACACATACATAAAATTTTTTTAAATATTTTTCTGATAGCTGTTATGACTTTGCCTATCACCCGGTTTCGGCTTGACGTCGACTTCTGGGACACCATGTATATATCTTATTAATTAATATATATAAAAAGCTAGAATCCCTTGTTCTCTCAATTATTGATTATTGTAATATTTTTTACCAACCCTGCTTGGATTAGCTCACTAAGAGGCGTTTACAACTGATTCAAAACAACTGTGTCACATACACGTGTGCTTTAAGAAAATACGACCATGTTAACCATGCTTGCAACACGCTTGGGTGGATGACGCTCAAGTATTTGACTTCATTATTTGGTCGTCCTCCATAAACTGCTCGCAACTGAACTCAAGCATCTAAATCTAAGAGAAAAACTTAATTTTTCTATTGAAATACACAATAAAATCCTTAGATATATACTGAATATTAGAATAGTCCATCACTGCGTCTCTCTTTTCAAACGTTCACTTTCCTATAATGCTGCTAGTCTCTATAATAACATTCCTGTTGTCTACAAAGGCATGAATTTTTCTTGTTCCTGTAAGCATGTTAGGTTGTACTTACATAGCTTTACATTCTAATGTTTCTTTTGTTTGTTCAAATTTTGTTAACAATACACTTATAAGTTAGTTTAGGGATGCACTATGTTTCTAGCCATTTAAATTAGTTCCATGTTTGATTTAATTGGTTTCAATACTATTGCACAATTGCAATATAAAAACTTTATTGTTTTGTATCTCTCATACCATCTTTATCTCGTATTTTTATGGTTAAGTGTAAGAATAGCTTTAGTTCGCCTTCGCTATGATTGTAAATAAAGAAGATATTATTATTATCTCACAAAGTCAACCTAACACTGAAGAAGCAAGAAATAACCCTTCCTGCTTCCTAAAGCTAAGGTGTTACTCTATTTGACTTGGAAAAAGCATGGTCAATTTCAAAAATTAATGATTTAAAATATTTACCTAAAAGCAGGTCCCTTTTTGTCATCAACTCTAATCAACTGCCACTGCTTCTGATTCAACCACCTGTTGAATCTCATTTTCAGGTGTGGAGACTTTAACCGAAACTTGTGACTCCTCATCAAGTCTCTTGTTATTATTACCGTATTCTTCCCCGAGTGTAAAGCACAGTATAACAAATAAGGGTCATCCTACAATAAATATTCGATTGACCAGTTACAGTTCATACTTTCTGACAAGGACGTACCCAGCTCAAAACGGAAGGAGGCACTTTAAAAAAATTGTTCTACAAATTATATCTACATGCTTAATATCATTACATTCGCATTTCATTTATACAGGGTGACTTTGAAGTTCAGTCATTAATTTTCAGATAATGATTGTAGAAGGAAGATAAACCAAAATATGTGTGTAAAAATAAAAAAAAAAAATTTACCTTGTTTTATAAAGTATCCTCCCGACAAGTATTTCAGTGCGGACCTGTATTTGATCGTGAGGTCTTGGAGCACCGGCATGCCGCCCCTGTGAGGTCTTAAGTCACCTGATTCACGAGCCCGTTGTACTACATTAACAAAGGCACGAGGGGTTGGTTGCACTCGATTGGGAAACCGATCCGCATAAATATGTGCCATTTTTTATTTCGTTTGAGCCACGCAACAGACACCACTATTCACTCACGCGTTACCGACTGACACTGACTGTATACAACTGAATAAAATAATTGTAAAAACATCGCTCCAAATTCTTTCGCTTTTTTGTTTCCGATGCGATGATCCGATAAGGCGGATTATATCCGTTGTTGCCAAACACGAGCACATGATATTATTATTGAGACAGGGCGGTACTCAAACTTCCAAAGGGCTATAACTTTGTTACTTTAATTTTACCAGAAAAATGGTAAAGGAAAAAACATTTCTTTTGATCAGATCTACTCACTGTTAAAATAAATGCCTCAACTTCGAAGTCACCCTGTATACAGTCTTCCACGACAATCTGACAATTCATATGGATATAGAAAGCTACTAGGATTGCTTTTTTGAAACATCCAAGCAAACATTGCGTGTTGAAAGCAACACTTGAGATAGTATATGACATATAGCCAAAAAAGGTTTTATAGAATATGTAGAAGGATATGTATAAATTCGTTTATATTTTTTGCCGATAGTCATAAAACGGCTACAAAACCGAGAACCGCACGGGTATTATGTAAAAAACATATAAAATGTCATCTTGCAGACTAGGAATTTTTGGGGTGCAAACAGTCATTCCACGTTTGCTCACTAGGATCGTTGTGATCGTCCATTTATGGAAGAATGACTGAACTAAACTACACGCATTGTTGGTTGCATATGTTTTGGGAAGCCGAATAGTCTGTAGTTTTTATGTCTGAGAAGAAAGTTGGCTGAATAGCAAGATCGCATCTGGACGATTATGTGTATTGGTCTTCATGTGTATAAAACCAGTGATATTTGCTGTATGAGAAAATCATTACTGAATATGCTACCAGTGAAATATATCTATTAGCTGTGCCCGACGAGTTATTTGTGTTGTGCTTTTTGAAGAGAGGTCATGTTCAAAGTTATAAATTACGACAAACTTTGAGGATAATTACGGGAAATCACTGCCGCGCCCGCATTGTGTGTAATTACTTTTAGCATGTATATGGCTTGTAATTCGACAGTGTATTTATCTCTCTCATTTTTTAAATTCAGCAAATTTGCATATGTAATTTCCAGAATGGATAAGAAAAAGTGGATGCGCAACTAATTTCTAGCTTTGAATCTCAAGTAAGTGTATTTGAGACAAGAATCCAATGGAATTACCATCAACACATACAACTTACAGCTTAGATCTCCAGTAATGCCATCTCGGAAGCAGATTTTACATCACATCAGAGCCAAACATTGATAACTGAAGCCTAAGTGCTAAGTTAACATCTTGTAGAAAAACCTACATAATGTCAAAAAAAAAAAAATCGATATAACGTCACTTTTCAAGATACGCAATACCCGTGTAACATTAATCAAATCCAAGCGAATAACCAAAATTTCTGTGTTATGTGCCGCGGTTATAATATGGTTCAAGATGACACACGGGTTGATGACGTCAGTTACACGAACCGCTTGAACGCGTTGGTTTTAACCGCGGTTTTGTTGCAAGTTGTTTATTTTAGAAAAGCGCGTATATAATCTCTGATTATTTTTATTATCACTTAATAATCGGTGCTTTTTCATCTACAACTGTGTAAAAGTTTAAATAAGAAACCTTTCATAATATTCATGGGAGAAATGTTTTTTCAGATTTTTTTTTATGATGGAACCATGGCTTTGTAGCTATGATAACTTTCAATTCTCTAAATTTTTCCGCATGTCAAAGAAAACATTTATTGATTCAGCAGAAATGATGAAAAAAGAAATTAGCAAAACCGTATACAAGTGGATATCATCTAGTGAGTTTATATGGCCATATTTTAATATTCTTGTGGTATATGGCTACACAGGATACTTTGTTAAGCATAGGAACTACATTTAAAGTGTCTCCAACAACCGTAATGAGTATAACTCATAAGGTGCTCCACTTTATGGTAAAACTGAAGTCAGCCTGTATCAATTTTCTCCAAAATGAAGCTGAAGTACAATAACAATATCCAATACCGGGCAAAATTCTAACTTGTCACATTTCAAATAATAACCAGAAATATAAAACTACTCTTGAGTTGGGTAAATACCACAATTTTGCGGTGATAACTATGACATAAATAGCTGATTCGTGACGTTACGGATCTTATAACCAAACTGATAACTACACTCGCTTGAACGGATCGGTAAATACCAACCCAAAATGGTAAATACCATTTCCATTTGGTTATCCGCTTGAATTTGTTTATAGTCTCTTGCAAGTCTGTATGAGATGAGAGATGACCGAATGAAGTTGTTGAAGTAATGTTGATTATATAGGTTTCAAATCTCTGAAATGTCCGCAGGGAACAACTTTCGCCCCTTTCCATCAATTCTCGATGTACCATCTCTGCTGTGGGAATTTCATTACGTTTATAATGATCATACACTATGTTCCTTATTTTGGCAGTTGTTGCTGAACTCAAAGATATGGATGTCCCCTTGGAAAGTCTTCTTTTTCTTGGTTTGAAACCGGTACTAATAACTTTACATATTGTAGGATATGGCACGTTAGTCAGTTCGGCTGTTTTTGTTAAGGACACTACTATTGTCGCTATCACCCATTTCACGTAACAGTCCATTATAAACATTGATGCAAATCTGTTGAGCATCAACAGACAGATACATTTTTTTAGAAATACCCTTTAATTTTTGCCGAGCTAGGAAATAGGGAGGCAGTTGCCCCCCTGGGTACGCCCTTGCTTTCTGATAAGAGAGTTATTAATATCAACTCAATATTATTGAAGATGCAAGATGTCTTCAAATGACATTTTTCTTAAATAATAATTGGAAAATATTAACCTGTGAGATGTCTTGTGTAAGGAAAACTGTAGCATTGTCATTAACATATCCCCAATTCTTCTTAGGCCATTTGTTCATATGCATCCTGCCAAGTACAAGTACACTTCTGTTTCTTTCTACAAAGTATTGCACAACTGCTGCTACCTGTGAATCAGTTTTACTATTCTTAAATAACAAACATATCTATTATCAGCAATATGAATATTGCTTGAATAATGCTAAGGCGAGATGGGATTGCCATTCTAACATACAGTTTTTAATGCCAAACTTCGCTAAAGGCCGTCAGTCACGATACAATATTTTGTTAATAATTCGGTATCAAATTTTGTGAAAATGGACTACTGTGTTTAGTTCCCAATTTGTTTACCAATTACAATCCTGTCTGTCACGTAAAGAAGTGTTTGTAATAAATTAAGTACGAAATCATGCATAGTCGGTAGAAAAAACTATAACTGCAAACTCCGAACTACCATTTATGACGTCATACTAACCACACTTATGTCACACTGCTCTTTTGACCATGACACCTTTTAAATGTATCAATCTACAAGTAGAACATCATGAGCAGATTCGTTTCGCGAAGCTGATGAACACAACAACAACTGATGAAAGCTTGAGGCTTGTTTTTGTCAACCAGTTTGTTTGTTTGTTTTAACCAGTTAGATACACATGTGTACATTGGCACGTCAAAAGTAAAATAAATAATAATTAAAAAGGATGAATACACTGTAAAATATAAATAACAATAGGTAAATAGTTCATAAGAATAAATTTCAAAAAATACGTTAAACAGCACAGTTGTACAGTTGAAGGGTAAAGTTTCGAATTTGGTTGTTCTATGCATTGGTTTTTGTAATAAATTGCGATGTCTCGTGTTTAGATTATGGCGTGCAGTATAGTCCTCAAATTCCTACCAATGCAACCTAACGTACATAAGACAGTTTAACATGTAAATACATGGTACAGTCAATACACGCTCTCTGATAAATGTCGGCTTTCAAGACTCTCTAGGGGTAAGATTGAAAAGTAGTCGGATAATTCGCTTCTGAGAGATGAACACACGGATACATGCACTGCTTTTGCATACGTGAGTAGGCCAGGGCATAATACACAGTGTTCAGACCATCTCTATCAAGACAGTTCTTTAGCTGATTTAGGGCATGAAAGGCGTTGTTTAACTTCTTACAGACACTGTCGATCTCTGTGTTCCAGTTAAGAGAATAGTCTCAAATGCATCCTAAGTATCTCACTTCATCAGCTAGATTAATATTTGCTGTAAAACCTGGATCTAGAGATTGAGAGTTACGCATGTGGTACTGTATTGACATTGTGTTCGAGTTATTCAAAATTAGTCGGTTATGGAAACATCAAGCATTCATCTGATCTATGACTTTGGTGTTTTTTTTTTCAATAAATGATTGGCTGAATCTGATGCTATAGTAATTGCTGTATCATATGCAAAAATCGATAAGCGTCCTTCTTAAATGTATTCAGGGAGATCGTTTATGTAGCTTATAAAAAGCAAAGGTTCCAAATTAAACCCATGAGGCACTCCAAGATGAACATCAAGAGTATCCGAAAGCTCGCCATTGCATGATACAGTCATCTTTCTGCTTGTAAGGTAAGACTCTATCCATTTCAGAACATTGTAAGGGAGTCTAAGAGCATTTACTTTGCCGACTAGAAATGTAGGATCTAATGTATCGAAAGCTTCTGTTAGATCAAAGAAAAGCGTTAACTATTGTTTATTAGTGTCTAATTGAGTAAATATAAAGTTCAGCATATGAGAGGAAACAGACTCCAGTGATCTATTAATTCTGAATCCATGTTGTTCTTTGGCAAGCAAGTTATTTTTAACACGCTTTTATTCTCAAGATAGTACCACCATTCATATATATATATATATATATATATTTATATTTAGGGTGTTTCAGTTTATTGTTGCATAAGTTTAAGATTCGATAGAACTTTTAAAAATAATGCATGTTTAAATTTACTTTCTAAAATAGTTTTTTTAAATATTTCGGAAAATATTTAATGTATAACAGTGAAAATTGGTATACAAGGGTTTTTTGGTACGAAAAAACGAACCATGGGCATAGTTTTACTGTAGCCGCTAGAGGGCGCTCTCTACTGTACCTGTAGAGTATTAAAATGACCGAAAAAAATTTCTTAGTGCAATTTTTTGCTTTTTGAATAAAAAAACTGATTCTTCGCACTTTTCAACATAAAAAAGCTCTCCTGTTTTCGTTATAGTTAGCCGTTTTTGAGATATTTCGATTTTCAAGGTTCGATGCATTTTTAATTATTTATGGGAGAATAATATTTTTTTTACATTTTCGATTTGGGCATTACAAGTAATTAAGATGATCGTTTAGATTATGTTTTTAAACACAGCCATAATTCCTAACTCCAAATAAACACAAAAACCAGAATATTAATTTGTTTAATTTTCCAATATTATTTTTAACAAATTAAATTAATTATTTACAACTAAAATGCTATTGGATAGTTAGGACAAACATACAAAATCTAAAGTAGTTGCTCGAAATGCAAACCCAATTGTTCAATACACAATTCACATCTACGAATGATCGAACGTGGTATAGCATTATTCAAATAAATTCATCACATGCATTCCTGATTCTGTCTATTAGTATATCTCTTGTGGTTACGGGAGTCTGGTACAATTTTTCTTTTAGAAATCCCCACACAAAGAAATCTAATGGATTTAGGTCAGGGGATCGTGGAGTCCAGGCGACTGGTCCTCCACGGCCGATCCATCTTTCTGGATAATTTTCGTCCAGCCAGTTTCTAACTATTCTCGAATAATGAGCTGGACAACCATCAAGCTGGAACCAGGCCAATCTTCTTAAATCTAACATAACATCATCCCACATATTTGCATGTTCAGCCTTTAAAAATTCCAAGGTCGCAGCATTTAACCTTGCAGGCAAAAGGTAGGGTCCAAATAGTCGATTACGGTAGATACCAATCCACACGTTCACACTAAATTCATGCTGAACATTTCTTTCCCGAACTGCATGCGGATTTTCATGCGACCAAATATGTTGATTATGAAAATTTACCACTCCACGTCTAGTGAAGCATGACTCATCGGTCCATAAAACGTTACTTAAAAACTCCCTATTATTATCAGTTCTATCAAGAATCCACTGACAAAATGTGATTCTTCGTTCTCCGTCCCCTGGCTGTAGTCCTTGCACAGGCTGCAAATGGTAAGGACGTCTATGGTCATTTCTAAGAACACGGTGAACATTTGCTGAAATTCCCAAGGCACCAGAAACTCTCCTAACACTTGTGGTCGGATCTCTATCAAACTCACGCAGAATCATACGGGTAAATCTGCGCTGACGAACATTTATGTTTTGATCCCTTTGGAGATTTCTAAACCATTTTCAATTATTTGGCGATGCACTCTTACAAATACTGAGCGAGTTGGATGTCGTCTGTTAGGAAATTTCGTACGTATTCTCTGGCTGCTTCTGCTGCGTTTCCATTTACAAAGCCATACACAAAATGAATATCCGCTAACTCTTGATTGGAGAATAAAAATGACATTTTTATAAAACTTACAAAAAAAAAAACAGGTAAAAGAAACTAAATTTCGTGCATTCACAATTGCAAAAAAACGTTTCAGGTTTTTTTAACAGACAACAAAACTAACTGTCAACTAATTGACGTTTAACCTTATTCTTTTTTTTATCATAAATAATTAAAAATGCATCGAACCTTAAAAATCGAAATATCTCAAAAACTATAACGAAAATTCACAAGAGAGCTTTTTTATGTTAAAAAGTGCGAAGAATCAGTTTTCTTATTCAAAAAGCAAAAAATTGCACTAAGAAAATTTGTTCGGTCATTTTAATACACTACAGGTACAGTAGAAAGCGCCCTCTAGTGGCTACAGTAAAACTATGCCCATGGTTCGTTTTGTCGTACCAAAAAACCCTTGTATACCAATTTTCACTGTTATACATCAAATATTGTTCGAAATATTTAAAAAAAACTATTTTAGAAAGTAAATTTAAACACAAGCCACGCATTTTTCGACCAATGTTTATATAGACTTTAAGCATTAATTTTAAATGTTCTATCGAATCTTAAAGTTATGCAACAATAAACTGAAACACCCTGTATATATATATACAGGGTTATCCAAATTAAGTGTCCACCATTAGTAACTTTGTTATTAGTGAAAATACAAAGTTGTTTGAATTAGCAAACTAGTAGCATTTTTAACGCTGGTAAAAATGAGAAATAAAAAAAAACAATTGAGAGTCGTTATTTTGATTTTTTGCAGTAAAATAACATTTTTTTAAATGGAAACCCCTGTATATTATATTTTTTTCTGTTAAAGCATCAAATTTTAAACAAAAAAGTTCATAATGACTTTTCCGCTAAAGTCAAAAATAAAGTCAAAATAACGATAAATATTTTTAATTATTTGCAGTATTATAATATTAAGACGGCTATGAAAACAACATGGCGTTCGCGATTTGACAGCATTAAGATAAGCGACAAATTGTTAAACTGGACATACTCGCAACTAGAAGGCTTTGGAAAACAATGATAAAATCAAATAATGTCAAACATTAGTGTAAATACTTGTTTATAAGCTTTATTGTGTCATTAATTTAAAGAAAAATGTTCTCCCATGAAGAAAAGTGTGATATGTTAGAATGCTATTTAGTGTGCAGAAAATCCTCCTTGAGAGCAAGAGAATACTACAGTGAATTATATCCCGCTCGCATTCAACCGTATGAACGATATTTTCTGAGACTTTATCGAAAATTTAGGGGCAACGAAAATGTTTTTGCTAAAATAAGGGCAAAAAAAGAATTCATAATAAGCGAGGCCACGGAAATTGCAGTTATTGGATATTTTGAAGCTTATCGTGAGAATTCAATAGCAGATATTCTCAAGGACTCTAATTTCAGTTATGGTACTGTTCAAAGGATTTTAAAAAAATACAAATTTATTCCGTATAAGTACCGACCAGTTCAAACGCTTTTGGCAGGGGATCCAGAGAGAAGACTTGTTTTGCCATTGGTATCTTAGCTTCTGTCGCCAAAATGTAAATAACTTTCGTTACCTTTTATGGACAGATGAATCAAATTTTTCAAATTCTGGAATGTTTAATAGAAAAAACCACCATTATTGGTCAAGAGAAAATCTTTTGTTAGTACATCCAAGAGGCCCACAAGTCCGTTTCAGTTTCAACGTTTGGTGCGGTATAATTGGTTCAAAAATTGTTGGCCCGTTCTTTTATGAGGGAACCCTAACTGGTGAAAGATATGTGGAATTTATGTCAGAAATTCTGACTAATTTCTTAGACGAATTGGATCTTATAAGTAGACATCATCTGCATTTTCAGCAAGATGGCGCACCTGACCACAACTCCAGAGGTACTTATCATTTTCTAAGTACTACTTTTAATGATCAGTGGATAGGAACAAATGGCCCAATACAGTGGCCTCCCAGATCACCAGATCTAAACCCACTTGATTACTTCTTGTGGGGTTACTTAAAGAACCAAATTTACAAGCGAAGGTACGATAACCTTGACGCGTTAAAGACTGCAGTTAGGGAAAAGATAACCCAGATAGATGGTAGGACCATACTTAAGACAGTTCGAGCAGTTGAAAAACGTGCCCAAAAATGTATTGAAGAACAAGGTGTTTTCGAGCATCTTCTTTAAAAAAAATTGTTATTGTATTTTGTAAGATTATAAGTTGATGTTGAAAATAAAGTTTGTCGATACAATTTAATTGTTTCAGATTGGAGGCCATAACTTCAACAATTTGTAACCTAGGAGAAAAGTTATTGTAAGCTTTTTTGTTTAAAATTTGATGCTTTAACAGAAAAAAATATAATATACAGGGGTTTCCATTTAAAAAAATGTTATTTTACTGAAAAAAATCAAAATAACGACTCTCAATTGTTTTTTTTTATTTCTCATTTTTACCAGCGTTAAATATGCTACTAGTTTGCTAATTCAAACAACTTTGTATTTTCACTAATAACAAAGTTACTAATGGTGGACACTTAATTTGGATAACCCTGTATATATGTATATATAATTTTTTCAAATAATTTTGAGAGACTGTTCAGTAAGGCTATTTGACGATAGCTATCAATATCTGCTTTATTACCTTTCTTATGCACAGGAATGACAAGTGCAGTTTTAAGTGCTTCAGAGAATGTGCCAAGCAAAAGTGACAGATTAAACGGAAACACAATGTGTACCATAAGCACATCGAGTACATAGTCGAGCGTTTTTAAACTCAATCCGTCAAGTCCTGAAGACTTTTTATTATTTAATGCTGCCATGGCTTATAGTATTTGCGGTGTGAGATGGGTTTATTGTTGAATTGATGCTTTATGTTAATATCCTTGGATGTAGTAAAATGCAAGGACATATTTTGACCAATGTTCTGACTAACTGCGTTGTTTGCAATATTCGAGAAATATTCAGCAAACGACTTGCATACATCAGCTGATGACTTCAGATTACCACCAACGTTGAGAGTGATCAGCCCGTTTTTGTTATCATCTCATCTAATCATCCCAAAACATTAATAGGGTATGAAGGAGTTAACACAAATCGTGTTATTTCCTTGTCACATAGCGCTTTTCTCAGCCATTGTACTGTTCCAAATGCGCAGTTGGCGTCTGCGCACTTTTAGCATGATATTATTTAGACCAGGTTCTATAAAATTTAGCACTCATTTTGTTAATACAAAATTATGTACTAAATGCTGCCTGATTTTCTACTAAATTTAGCACAAAATTTCATACCATGACAGACGGCCTTACTCCATTGTATTTTCAAAGTGAAACAGATTATATTTTTTATTTGCATTTCATTCAAATACCAAGTTTTCTTCAAAAGGAAATAGTCTTGACAAAAATTGACTAAGAGAAGCAATTTGTGTAAGTAATATTTTGGGTATGGCTTAAATGCTTTTTCAAATCCTGCAAGTCTTTGCTTATGATAGTTAGGAATTCTAGTATGGTTACTTGTAGGCTCATTGACTGTGAGCAATCACTTATTTTTAAATAAATATTTGAGGCGTTCCACATATGTTAAAAATTTGTGTTTATTGTACAATGTTTTGGTCCCAATGGTGACAAAAATGTGTTGATCATACTTGAAGAAGTTCACCATTGGGACTCAAACATATGTGGTTGGATTGGATCAGAAAAACATGGGGGGTTAATACCAAAGATGTTTCAAAAGTTGCCTTGAGAGGAAGGACAGTAACATGACATATTTGACACAAATGACATAATGCTGCAGTTCCCTTCTCCGCAATGTGCATGCATGTTTATATTTTTGATACAAATAAGTCAGCCTTTCCCATTTTTGCATTTTGTTTTTTATACTTACTAATCCAGATAGAACAAATGGTGAATGCTTGGTACCAGCAGAATAAGCCACATTCAGTCCATCCAAAACCACATCAAAAGCACCCATATTTGCCACAAATTTGTTGAATTTTTCCAGTTCAGCAGGATTTGTCCTTGAAAATATATCTTTGCCTACAATGACATTTTCAAAAACTCCTAATTTTAACTCTGCAAATTCCTCTGTGGTTAGCTCAAAATTTTTCAGTTTGCTGCTGCAATTGTAGCATAACCCTTTGTAAGAAACCTGTAATAGTAATTGGACTTAAAAAAATGGTAATTCAAGGAGAAACCATTTTACCTTGGTGAAATTTTTCATAAGCTCTAGTTTTTCTGCAGAATCTGCTATACTCAGTGCCACATCTTCCGTACATTTTAGATCATAATTTTGGAAGAACAAAAATAGTTTCTCTAATTTCTCAATAATTAAGGATTTTTTCCTCATTTTTTTGAGAGTGCTCAAATAAGCATGAAATGCAATGCTTTCTGGAACCTTTTCAGATTGAAACATTTCCTACAAAATAGTTAATATAAGAATAAAATAAAAAGGTTCTTTTCCTACTAAAAATATTATTACCTCTAAGATTTGCCAAGCAAGGTCTTCTTCTTTATTAGAAAATGCAGCAGCTACAATAGAGCTATATGAAACAGCATTTGGAGTTGCAGTAACTTTAATATCTTGTAACAAATCTAAACAAGTTTTCCATTGACTAGTTACAGATAAAGCTAATACTGCATTTTCCAAAGAATATGAGTCTAATATTGGATAGTCTCTTCTCAAGTCTTCATAATACCTGTAGAAATAAAATTATAGCTTACAGTCTTAATACTATGGACATTCTGATACCTTAGTATTAGTTCTTCCTCTATTTTGGGCAGTGTTTTGCCTTGAATAAAGACAATATCAGCATTTATAGCATATAGTAACTTCAGATATTTCCCTATGGTAGCCAAATTTGGTTTGATATCTTCACTTTTGAGGAAATTCAAATAAGAGGTCCCCCGGTCACAGTCCTTCTTTAGGGCACAATAACCTAGTATCTTAGAATCAATATTGTTGTTAGTATATTGTCCCCTATTAAATTCATGCTCCAAAATAGTATTTCTAACGATTTTCCAGTCGTTTAGAGAATGTACTTTGGTGTTATCCATAACCGTTCCTATGACATCTACAATGTGTCTTACTTGTCGGGGTCTTATCATGTTCCTTTGTTGAATAAATGGCAGATGAGAACATTTCTTGGTGAGGATAGAAATTGAACGATTACCTAACATGGTTCTATGTTTAATATACTTATTTTTTTAGATATTTTTCTAAATATTGTGCTTTTTTAAATTCTAACCTACAAAAATTATAATCATAGCAGGATTAGCAGGCAACCAGTAGTACATCTAGCGATCTAGCCTTACGAGTTGCATCCAGTGATGCCACCGGCCAGTAAAGGAATTATGATACGATGTTGCCAGAATTATCAATTTTTCTTCAAAATTATGTTACAAATAGTGTTCCTTTAAGACAAAAAATACACATAATTAATATAGGTTCTTTAATGTAAAAATCTCATAATAAATGGAACATTTGGGAAAATCAAACAAACTCTCGAAAAATACTACAAGATATACCTAACTCGAAAACATAAAAAGATTATTCAGGTTCAAAATGAATATCAACAGTTTCATTTTCATCTTGAGCGACATGTTTATAGGACGTTATTCTATTAATCATATTTTGAGTAACATTAAACTTATAACATTCACGATTTACACTTTGAGATGCCAATAAAAGTGAATTTACTGTATCACTGTACAAGCGATTTCGGACATCTATTTTGATTAAATTTACTTTTGAAAACATTCTTTCGCATCCGGCATTTGAATGAGGAATTACTAATAAATCTAATAGAAAATTTCCCAATTCTTTAAATACGTAAACATCAGACATGTCGTGAATTTGGGAGATTTTGTACCAGTATTTATCGATTGATGTTTCATCCTCTATTTCATCACTGAAATTTGGTTCTGACTGGCAATACATCCGCCACTGATCATCAATTTTTTGTATTTGTTCAATATCTTGAGGATCTACAATTCTGGGTAGTAACTTAATTAATGGAAAAAGCGATGCTGTTTTTGGTTTAGAATACCTTTTTTCAAATACTGATATTTTTGACAAAATGTTTTCATTAAAATCAAACCGTTTTTTCATTTCATTTGCAGAAGTTATTAAAAATTGACGGCACCGCATGTAGAAATCTTCTTTTTCCTTTTGACTTAATTTATCAATGTTCTGAAGTACGCGAACACCAAGGTATATCTGTTTCAAGTCAATGAACTGACTAGAATTGTTGGGATCGATTTTACCTATTTCGGTTTTATGAATATAATTTGGTTGTAAATAGCTTTAACAAATTTCTTTGTAAGTTTCACAAACTACATCATAAACGTGTGAAATTATTACACGCTCACTTTGAAAGTATTCGTTTAATTTTACAAATTTTGGTAAAATCCAATGAAGAAAAAAGAAAAAAGTTTTGTTTCCATATCATTAAGTCTATTGGCAACAACTTCTGAAGCTTGCAGTCTATGTTCGGTCCATTCTTTAACAAAATATAATTGAAGGGGATTCCATTGCTCAATTATCCTTTCCACTACCACTACCAGAAGTAATGAAAGCCACCTAGTTTGTGAAGGACGTAAAATTTTGTGAAGCTCCACATTACAAAATGTCTGAAATTCTGTAAATTGTGCTTGCCGTTTGAAGCTATTTTTAAAGTAACCAAAAATATTCCTGGCTAAATCTTTACAATGACGGGGCAAAACTTTACAAGCCTCACTGGCACAAAGATGTAAAGAGTGGCAGATGCATTTTTGAACTATAATGCCAGGAAGATTTAGTTTTAACCTACTTACTACTGAGTTATTGGCACCAAACATAGTGTTACAACCATCAGAACCAAATCCTATAATATTTTGGAAAGGTATATTGTTAGACTCAAATAAATCCATAATTTTTTTATAAAGAACTTCTGCAGTCGCCCCTGTATTTGCTTCATCTGGATTTTGATTTGAAAAACATTGAACCAAATTTAAAAATTTTGTAGTTACCTCATTTGTTTTTTCACTAAAGTACCTAACACATACACATATATTTTTTACTACACCTATGTCTGTAGATTCATCTACTAAAATGCTAAACTTTTTTGCGTTTAGTTCATCGATTAGTTCTTCAAAATGAGATTTGGCTAAAACATGTTTTATAACACCTGTTGCTTTGTTTCTTCCCATCTGCATTCCTTGGGCAATTTTCGAGTCAGGAAATATGTCTTTAAATAAAGGAATCAGATGATCACACAGCTTGATGGGTAGATTATGCTCTGATATTAATGCAGCAATTTTTATTTCTGCCCTACTCACTTGACCACTAGCTTCGTTTTTATTAGAAAACATAGTAGAAATTTTTGGTTGATGTTTCACAATAACCTTTACATTTTTTAAATGTTTAGCTCCCTTACTGTGCTTTTTCAATACAGTTAAATCTGCTTGAATTTCACTATCACAAGCAATACATTTTGCTGGAGTGGGTTTTTCTAAAAACAAAAATGCATATCATTAAAAGTATAAAATGGTTTTATGTTATTTTTTCTACCTTTAACAGCTTTCAACCATCCTTTGAAATGAGGATTGCTTTCCCATTCACATCTATATTTTTGTGGTCTATTTTTTTGTCTGTTTACATTTTTAAACTTTAATCTTTTTGCCTCCCTTTCTGAATCCGAAGAATCGGAGTAATCATGATGATTCCCTTTGCTGGTACTGGCCATTTTATTTCACTAATTGATCACATCAACACACATTAATAAGGACTCATTCGATCAACTACTCTTGCTCGTATTGAAAAAGAAACAATGTGGATTAGGGTATCCGTCAAGTCCTGAAGACTTTTTATTATTTAATGCTGCCATGGCTTATAGTATTTGCGGTGTGAGATGGGTTTATTGTTGAATTGATGCTTTATGTTAATATCCTTGGATGTAGTAAAATGCAAGGACATATTTTGACCAATGTTCTGACTAACTGCGTTGTTTGCAATATTCGAGAAATATTCAGCAAACGACTTGCATACATCAGCTGATGACTTCAGATTACCACCAACGTTGAGAGTGATCAGCCCGTTTTTGTTATCATCTCATCTAATCATCCCAAAACATTAATAGGGTATGAAGGAGTTAACACAAATCGTGTTATTTCCTTGTCACATAGCGCTTTTCTCAGCCATTGTACTGTTCCAAATGCGCAGTTGGCGTCTGCGCACTTTTAGCATGATATTATTTAGACCAGGTTCTATAAAATTTAGCACTCATTTTGTTAATACAAAATTATGTACTAAATGCTGCCTGATTTTCTACTAAATTTAGCACAAAATTTCATACCATGACAGACGGCCTTACTCCATTGTATTTTCAAAGTGAAACAGATTATATTTTTTATTTGCATTTCATTCAAATACCAAGTTTTCTTCAAAAGGAAATAGTCTTGACAAAAATTGACTAAGAGAAGCAATTTGTGTAAGTAATATTTTGGGTATGGCTTAAATGCTTTTTCAAATCCTGCAAGTCTTTGCTTATGATAGTTAGGAATTCTAGTATGGTTACTTGTAGGCTCATTGACTGTGAGCAATCACTTATTTTTAAATAAATATTTGAGGCGTTCCACATATGTTAAAAATTTGTGTTTATTGTACAATGTTTTGGTCCCAATGGTGACAAAAATGTGTTGATCATACTTGAAGAAGTTCACCATTGGGACTCAAACATATGTGGTTGGATTGGATCAGAAAAACATGGGGGGTTAATACCAAAGATGTTTCAAAAGTTGCCTTGAGAGGAAGGACAGTAACATGACATATTTGACACAAATGACATAATGCTGCAGTTCCCTTCTCCGCAATGTGCATGCATGTTTATATTTTTGATACAAATAAGTCAGCCTTTCCCATTTTTGCATTTTGTTTTTTATACTTACTAATCCAGATAGAACAAATGGTGAATGCTTGGTACCAGCAGAATAAGCCACATTCAGTCCATCCAAAACCACATCAAAAGCACCCATATTTGCCACAAATTTGTTGAATTTTTCCAGTTCAGCAGGATTTGTCCTTGAAAATATATCTTTGCCTACAATGACATTTTCAAAAACTCCTAATTTTAACTCTGCAAATTCCTCTGTGGTTAGCTCAAAATTTTTCAGTTTGCTGCTGCAATTGTAGCATAACCCTTTGTAAGAAACCTGTAATAGTAATTGGACTTAAAAAAATGGTAATTCAAGGAGAAACCATTTTACCTTGGTGAAATTTTTCATAAGCTCTAGTTTTTCTGCAGAATCTGCTATACTCAGTGCCACATCTTCCGTACATTTTAGATCATAATTTTGGAAGAACAAAAATAGTTTCTCTAATTTCTCAATAATTAAGGATTTTTTCCTCATTTTTTTGAGAGTGCTCAAATAAGCATGAAATGCAATGCTTTCTGGAACCTTTTCAGATTGAAACATTTCCTACAAAATAGTTAATATAAGAATAAAATAAAAAGGTTCTTTTCCTACTAAAAATATTATTACCTCTAAGATTTGCCAAGCAAGGTCTTCTTCTTTATTAGAAAATGCAGCAGCTACAATAGAGCTATATGAAACAGCATTTGGAGTTGCAGTAACTTTAATATCTTGTAACAAATCTAAACAAGTTTTCCATTGACTAGTTACAGATAAAGCTAATACTGCATTTTCCAAAGAATATGAGTCTAATATTGGATAGTCTCTTCTCAAGTCTTCATAATACCTGTAGAAATAAAATTATAGCTTACAGTCTTAATACTATGGACATTCTGATACCTTAGTATTAGTTCTTCCTCTATTTTGGGCAGTGTTTTGCCTTGAATAAAGACAATATCAGCATTTATAGCATATAGTAACTTCAGATATTTCCCTATGGTAGCCAAATTTGGTTTGATATCTTCACTTTTGAGGAAATTCAAATAAGAGGTCCCCCGGTCACAGTCCTTCTTTAGGGCACAATAACCTAGTATCTTAGAATCAATATTGTTGTTAGTATATTGTCCCCTATTAAATTCATGCTCCAAAATAGTATTTCTAACGATTTTCCAGTCGTTTAGAGAATGTACTTTGGTGTTATCCATAACCGTTCCTATGACATCTACAATGTGTCTTACTTGTCGGGGTCTTATCATGTTCCTTTGTTGAATAAATGGCAGATGAGAACATTTCTTGGTGAGGATAGAAATTGAACGATTACCTAACATGGTTCTATGTTTAATATACTTATTTTTTTAGATATTTTTCTAAATATTGTGCTTTTTTAAATTCTAACCTACAAAAATTATAATCATAGCAGGATTAGCAGGCAACCAGTAGTACATCTAGCGATCTAGCCTTACGAGTTGCATCCAGTGATGCCACCGGCCAGTAAAGGAATTATGATACGATGTTGCCAGAATTATCAATTTTTCTTCAAAATTATGTTACAAATAGTGTTCCTTTAAGACAAAAAATACACATAATTAATATAGGTTCTTTAATGTAAAAATCTCATAATAAATGGAACATTTGGGAAAATCAAACAAACTCTCGAAAAATACTACAAGATATACCTAACTCGAAAACATAAAAAGATTATTCAGGTTCAAAATGAATATCAACAGTTTCATTTTCATCTTGAGCGACATGTTTATAGGACGTTATTCTATTAATCATATTTTGAGTAACATTAAACTTATAACATTCACGATTTACACTTTGAGATGCCAATAAAAGTGAATTTACTGTATCACTGTACAAGCGATTTCGGACATCTATTTTGATTAAATTTACTTTTGAAAACATTCTTTCGCATCCGGCATTTGAATGAGGAATTACTAATAAATCTAATAGAAAATTTCCCAATTCTTTAAATACGTAAACATCAGACATGTCGTGAATTTGGGAGATTTTGTACCAGTATTTATCGATTGATGTTTCATCCTCTATTTCATCACTGAAATTTGGTTCTGACTGGCAATACATCCGCCACTGATCATCAATTTTTTGTATTTGTTCAATATCTTGAGGATCTACAATTCTGGGTAGTAACTTAATTAATGGAAAAAGCGATGCTGTTTTTGGTTTAGAATACCTTTTTTCAAATACTGATATTTTTGACAAAATGTTTTCATTAAAATCAAACCGTTTTTTCATTTCATTTGCAGAAGTTATTAAAAATTGACGGCACCGCATGTAGAAATCTTCTTTTTCCTTTTGACTTAATTTATCAATGTTCTGAAGTACGCGAACACCAAGGTATATCTGTTTCAAGTCAATGAACTGACTAGAATTGTTGGGATCGATTTTACCTATTTCGGTTTTATGAATATAATTTGGTTGTAAATAGCTTTAACAAATTTCTTTGTAAGTTTCACAAACTACATCATAAACGTGTGAAATTATTACACGCTCACTTTGAAAGTATTCGTTTAATTTTACAAATTTTGGTAAAATCCAATGAAGAAAAAAGAAAAAAGTTTTGTTTCCATATCATTAAGTCTATTGGCAACAACTTCTGAAGCTTGCAGTCTATGTTCGGTCCATTCTTTAACAAAATATAATTGAAGGGGATTCCATTGCTCAATTATCCTTTCCACTACCACTACCAGAAGTAATGAAAGCCACCTAGTTTGTGAAGGACGTAAAATTTTGTGAAGCTCCACATTACAAAATGTCTGAAATTCTGTAAATTGTGCTTGCCGTTTGAAGCTATTTTTAAAGTAACCAAAAATATTCCTGGCTAAATCTTTACAATGACGGGGCAAAACTTTACAAGCCTCACTGGCACAAAGATGTAAAGAGTGGCAGATGCATTTTTGAACTATAATGCCAGGAAGATTTAGTTTTAACCTACTTACTACTGAGTTATTGGCACCAAACATAGTGTTACAACCATCAGAACCAAATCCTATAATATTTTGGAAAGGTATATTGTTAGACTCAAATAAATCCATAATTTTTTTATAAAGAACTTCTGCAGTCGCCCCTGTATTTGCTTCATCTGGATTTTGATTTGAAAAACATTGAACCAAATTTAAAAATTTTGTAGTTACCTCATTTGTTTTTTCACTAAAGTACCTAACACATACACATATATTTTTTACTACACCTATGTCTGTAGATTCATCTACTAAAATGCTAAACTTTTTTGCGTTTAGTTCATCGATTAGTTCTTCAAAATGAGATTTGGCTAAAACATGTTTTATAACACCTGTTGCTTTGTTTCTTCCCATCTGCATTCCTTGGGCAATTTTCGAGTCAGGAAATATGTCTTTAAATAAAGGAATCAGATGATCACACAGCTTGATGGGTAGATTATGCTCTGATATTAATGCAGCAATTTTTATTTCTGCCCTACTCACTTGACCACTAGCTTCGTTTTTATTAGAAAACATAGTAGAAATTTTTGGTTGATGTTTCACAATAACCTTTACATTTTTTAAATGTTTAGCTCCCTTACTGTGCTTTTTCAATACAGTTAAATCTGCTTGAATTTCACTATCACAAGCAATACATTTTGCTGGAGTGGGTTTTTCTAAAAACAAAAATGCATATCATTAAAAGTATAAAATGGTTTTATGTTATTTTTTCTACCTTTAACAGCTTTCAACCATCCTTTGAAATGAGGATTGCTTTCCCATTCACATCTATATTTTTGTGGTCTATTTTTTTGTCTGTTTACATTTTTAAACTTTAATCTTTTTGCCTCCCTTTCTGAATCCGAAGAATCGGAGTAATCATGATGATTCCCTTTGCTGGTACTGGCCATTTTATTTCACTAATTGATCACATCAACACACATTAATAAGGACTCATTCGATCAACTACTCTTGCTCGTATTGAAAAAGAAACAATGTGGATTAGGGTATTCCCCTGCGTAGGCTCAAATTCACCGAGACTCGAGTTCCGTAATATTTACATAGATGGCGGTAGGCTTGATTTTTATTCTAATTCCATAATAACCATGCTATTAACTGAAAGAGGTCAGCACTAATAATTATTATCCTTTTTGTTACGTTGCTTTGGTTGCATACAATTAGAACCAATAATTTTGAAAACATAGTTATAGGCTGGGAGATGGAAAAATAATATGTTACAATCGATTATGTTACATCTTTTTATTTTCTGTATATTTCAGTAGAAAATATGGTACAATTTGATAATTATGTTACAAGTGGCAACACTGGTTGCATCTATTTAATACCTTTTATAGATTACTTTCTCAGGAATTAGCCTACTTAGGTCTAGATGATAGGTAGAGTCGCTGTATTGCAACTTGTTTTGTGCAAACTCTTATACAAAGAAGTGTATAGTGTGTTGCCTGCTCTGGGTTTTGGCATCATAAGGGTTATGTTTTGAATTTGTATTTATAAAGACCGATTTCAATAAGTTTGCTCGATTCAAAAAATGGATAATAATGAAGCTGATGGAATGCCAATACATATTGAAGTTGCTGATATTCCTAGCACTAGTGGCATCCGCGAGATTGAACAAAGTCTTGAAGCTGAAAGTCTTGAGGACCATGGATCAGGTAACCAGACAATTATTTCATAAGCCAAATATTCAACGTATGTTTCTTTTAGAGAATCCAGACAAAGAAAGGCCAACAAGAGGGCCGATAAGCAAGCTGGACGCCACCTTAAAGGGCCTGATGGGTGAAGCTAATTTACGATATGCTAGAGGAGACATTGAAACAGCCAAAAGAATGTGCTTTGAGGTGATCCGGCAGTGTCCGGAGGCCACAGAACCTTACTTTACCCTTTCACAAATCTACGAAAATGTAAATAGGAAAAAGTACAAGGGATACCTACTTCTTGCAGCTCACTTAGAACCCTCGAATACTGGCTTGGTAAATCGATTGGCCGAAGTCAGCCTGCAAGACAATAACATTGAAGGAGCCATACGGTGGTATTCTAGAGGTATCAAGTATTATCCGAGGAATATTGAGTTCCATTTGAAAAGATTGGAGTTACTCAAGCAGAGAGGTATGAGGTGTTCTATTATAGTAGAGAGGGGGGTCTACTCATCAATAGACTTTTTTGTATGATCATTTAGTTATTTGATATAAGATTTTTCATGCACTATATTTTTTGTATACCTAGAGTCACACTGGTTTCATACATACAGGGCTATCCTTAGCAGATGCAAGGCCTGGAACAAAACATTTTTGTTAGGCCTTTTTTGACGAAAATTTTTTAAAGTTCTTGAGCAAAAAAGTGTTTTTGTCATTTTTGATGAAGTCATTTTATCTCAAAACACGCCAATTATTTACTTGATTTGTTTCATTTGCCAGGGTTGAGTCTATTTTTATTTTTGATGTAAGTATACAATATTTCACTCTGAATAAAGAATTGAGATAATGCCCTACTGAGCGAGGGCCGTGGCAAATGCTTGTTCCGGAAGTTGTTGTATCCAGTATACAACTTCTTCCCATCCAAGTGATTGTGCACGCGTTAAGGAATAACTCAGTACCGATTGCCGGGTGGCGGTACAAGTCCGCCAACGGGTCACTTTAGGTCTATTTAACATCACCCACACGTAAAAAGAAGGTGGTAGACAAGGACCAGTCGACCGAGGCAGTACCACCCGCTATCTTTTCCCAGGGTGTCTTATAAATGTCCACATGTTTCCACACCTAAGCTATGCAGTCGGTTATCTACCAAAACAAAGAAATTAATGATGATGGATCCCTCGAGCACTAAGAACTCCGGACGTAAACTCACTCCACTCTCGGAATGTCCGGGTGGAGGGTGGGCTCGAGGGAACAACATCGAAGATAAAATTTGTTTTTCGAACATCTGCGGGATCAACAGCAACATTGATGCTGTTCATCACTACCTGCAATCCAATCGTCCCGCCGTGCTTTTCTTGGCGGAGACAAAAATCTCAGAGACTGCACCGATTAACCGTCTCAACTTCCCAAACTACGAGGTGCACTCCAATCTGAGAAAGAACGGGGAAGTTGTGGCTTTTGTCCGCAGCAGTCTTTCCTGCTCCAGGGATCTTTCTTTGGAATCAGACCGGAAAAACATTCTGTGGCTTCGCCTCAACTCCAAAACATCACCCAAATTTATTTGCTGCCTTTATCGCTCTCCCTCGAACCATAACTGGGATGACCTACTCGAATACCTCGCCGTCCAGATCGACTTACTGAACATCAATCACCCCGCTTCAGAGGTAGTTCTTCTCCTTGATTTCAATGCCCATAATGAGCTTTGGTTGGGCTCAAATAAGACCGATGCAGCAGGTCGTGCAGTCGAAGCGTTCGCTCTTACCCAAGGGCTGACTCAGCTGGTGACGAGCCCTACTTTTTTCCCCGCGTCTCGTCACACGCCAGTAGCCTGCTGGATCTCTTTCTGACCACGCATCCTGTCCCTTACAGCACTGCTGTCCTGTCCGCCTGGGTAACTCAGACCACGGTGTTGTGGAGGGTAGGTTTCGGTCAGAAGCCGCTGTGGCAGCAGAAACTCGTACAGGCCGCAAAACTTGGCATTACGGACATGCCGACTGGGAGGGGCTCAGAGACTTCTTCTCTAGCTTTTCTTGGAGAGATGTCTGTTTCACTGACGCGGATGCGTCGACTGTCTGTTCTTCAATAACCGAAATTATCCACGTCGGAATGGAGGAATACATCCCTCACACAGTGAAAGTTCCTAAACCAGGGTCCAACGGCTGGTTCAACAAATCGTGTGACACTGCTCGTCAGCAGAAGATCAAGGCCCACAGAACCTACTTACAAAACCCCACTGTAGAGAACAGACAAGCCGACGTCGAGTCCAGAAACAAATATAACGAAGCGGTTCGCAGTGCCAAAAACCAGCATGATATAAAAGTTAGGCACAGGGTAATGTCGCAGCGCAATGGCAGTCGGTCTTTCTGGACGCTGGCCAAAGCAGATTGAAAAGAACTTCTCACACAGTAGCCTTCCACCACTTACGTGTCGGGATGGAACTATTGTATTCGACTCAAAGGCCAAAGCCGAAGTGCTAGCCAAGATCTTTGCTGCCAACTCCACCATGGACGTCCCCACCAACGCCCAAGTGCCGTCAATTCAAAGGGTTTCCCACACTATGCGGGAGGTAACATTCAGGCATAAGACCGTAAGACGAGTGCTCTTGTCGCTCGACATCAACAAAGCTTCTGGTTCGGACTTGATTCCTGCCATTGTACTGAAGAGATGTGCAGCGGAGCTTGCTCCAGTTCTTTCGCGTTTCTTCCAGATATCTTATGAATCCGGCACCTTCCCAGAAAACTGGAAATTTGCTCATGTACAGCCCATCTCAAAAAAAGGATCAAAGACCGACCCTTACAACTACAGGCCTATAGCTCTGCTTTCTGTGTAAGTAAAGTGATGGAGAGGTGCATAAATCGCGAGCTTCTGGACTACCTCGAACGTCACAGCTTGATTAGCGACAGGCAGTACGGTTTCCGGCACCAACGATCCACAGGGGACCTCCTAGGTTACGTCACGCAACTGTGGAGTAAACTCATCCAGTCTCATGGTGAGGCTCATGTCGTTGCTCTTGACATCACGAAAGCATTCGATCAGCTGTGGCACGCTGCCCTCTTAAGCAAACTTCCATCCTATGGCCTCCCAGAAAAGCTTTGCAGATGGGTGGCTGACTTTATCTCTGGCCGCAAGATATCCGTCGTAATTGACGGATTCTCCTCTTCATCCCATAACGTCAACGCGGGTGTTCCCCAGGGATCGGTCTTGGCTCCAACACTGTTTGTCTTACATATCAACGACCTCCTTTCCTGCACGATCAACCCAATCCACAGCTTCGCTGATGACAGCACTCTACATGCAGGAATTCAGAGTGATAAGCCGATCTCTGCCGCTGAGCTGGAAAAAAGAAGACTAGCGACGACTTCCTCTCTGACAAGAGACCTGGAGGCTATCACTGCTTGGGGACGCAACAATCTTTTACAGTTCAATGCTTCCAAAACACAGTACTGTACTTTGACGAACAAAAAGCGTCCTAGCGCTCATACAGTTTCGATGGACGGTCGAGTTCTACCAAAGAGCCATTCATTTCGGCTGGTCGGAGTCCAGATCACCGAGGACCTGATCTGGCACGAACACATCTCTTTAATAGCTGCAGCTGCTAGGAAAAAGCTAGGCTATTTGTTTAGGGCTAAGAAGTACTTTTCTCCGCATGACCTTCTCACTCTATACAAGGCCCAGATAAGGCTTAGCCTCGAGTATTGCTGACACATTTGGGGTGCTGCCGCCCCGACTACATTGTCCATGCTCGATGCTGTCCAGAGGAGGGCGGTCCGACTGATCGATGACTCTTCTCTAACAGACAGTCTCGGGACTCTTTCGCACCGGCGGCGGGTCGTCGGCGATCTAGCTCTTTTCTATCACTACACCAACGGGCTTTGCTCCTCAGAGCTCTCTTCCATGATGCCGCCGCGCGATGTGCCTGCCAGACAGACCCGCCTGACTTCGGCGTCCCATCCTAACCGTGTCAAGCTTCGTACATCCAGAAATGGCCGATACGACCGCTCCTTTGTCCCGAGGGTGTCTAGATTGTAGAACAATCTACGGGAGGAAGCTTTTCCCAGTTCTACTAACCTTAGGCAGTTCAAAAATCGTATTAACAAAATTTCTTTGGGATCATCATAGCAGCCGCGGTGTTCCGGTATTTAGGCTTCTGCCTGCGCGGCTGTTTCGATATATAAAAAAAAGAAAGAAATATGATTTACTTACTACAGTTTTATTTTCTAAGCAATGAACCATTAGGAAAATTATAATAAAATTTAGGTCTAACAGGAAATAAATTCGTATAAAATTTTTTTTTGTAGTGAATAATCAATCATAAATAAGCACATATTATTACAAAATATACATATTATTTGCACATACTATTATTTGATTGGCGTTTTTAAGTGCTCACATTTGTCCATTTTCTTCTGTTTTTCATAACCACTTTTAAATTTCCTAAATTTGCCTTTTTCTCTAGACATGATTTAAATCTATGTCAGACACTAAAATATAATCAACATAAAAATCCACATGATGACAGTACAACCACAGACTGCTTACGGCTTAGAAACGTCAAAATACTCTACTCAAGTAATAAGAATGTTGCCACTAAACTAATGGGTTGAGGGAGGAATCGGGGAGATCATGTTGTGACAGGCTCGTAGGCCTATCAGTGTGTCACTGTGTGGTGGCACACTCGTTTGTGGGTTTTGTAGTTAATTAATAATTTAACATATTGGGAGGGTAATCAGACAGACATTTTAGGCACATATATCTGTGCAGTATTATATTATTTTCATTCAACCAAAACTTTTTACTTATTTGTTAGCGCGAGTAAAACGCCTCGCGTCGCGAGGCCTTTATCAGCGCGAGGCTCCACTCGCTCTACCCGAAAAACAGCCCTGTATACATAAAAATAAATGACACAAAATTTTGATTTTTGACTAAACCAATGAAAATGAGTATTAGAACTCATACATATTCTGTACCAGAAAGAAGGGAGTATAGTTTTAAGAAAAAATATTCAGGGTGTCCCACTTGAAAAATATATCTTCATTCATGTTTCTGAGAACCCTATACAAAAAAATTACTGCATGAAATAATTAATAATTTACTTAACTTTCACCATACATATGTGAAGTCTAGGCTGTAATATGGGGTCACCTGATGGGGCTCATCAACATATATACTAAGTGACATATAAATCCGAACACCCAGTTTAAATGGTTTTATTTTAATAAAAGTTGGTGAATGTATTTATCTTACTGTAAATAACAAGTGAAAAAATTTTCAGCCTTATCAGTTGGACATTCCGTTTTTTATACTGCTTTTTTTTAATTCACTAATGCTCTAAAAATGAATATTTCAGCCGCAGTAAAGAATCAACGTTGGCGGATTTTGGTTCTTGACATCCTTTACGATCGGTTACGATGCCTAGAGTACGGAGACCTGTACGATTTTGTCAACTTAGTGAGTTTGATAGGGGCCGTACCGTGGGACTTCGGGAAGCTGGACTTTCTTTTCGGGCAATTGCAGTTAGACTGCAAATAAGTGTAGACACTGGTTAGGTGTTGTCAGGCATGGCTTCGAGAAGGCCGTAAGCAAAGAGCAAGGGGCACTGGACGCCGCCGTAGAACAACAGACCGTGAAGATCGCCGCCTAAGATTATTGGCCTTAAGGGACCGTTTCTACACTACCAGGTCCATTGCAAATTAATGGTTTGCAGAACACGGAAGACCTATTGGCATGCGAAGTGTTTACCGACGAATGAGAAGTTTTGGCTTGGTTTCACCGGCCACACTGGGTCCTCCCGTTAACTCGAGAACACCGACGTAATCGCCTTGAGTGGTGCAGACAACGGTCACTCTGGGATCAGGAATGGAACAGTATTGTCTTTAGTGACGAGTCTCGATTTTGTTTAGGCATGCACGATGGTCGTGCCAGGGTTAGAAGGCGAGGTGGTGAAAGGAGGAATCCACAGTTTTTTGTTGAAAGACATGTTCATCACACTGTTGGAGTTATGGTTTGGGGTGCTATAGCTTATGGTTCCAGGTCACCTTTAATCTTCATCAGAGGTAACATGAACGCGCAGCGTTATATCCACGTAGTTCTAGAACCCCATCTTTTACCCTATCTTGACACCCTGGCAGATCCAACTTTCCAACAAGATAATGCCCGACCACATGTTGCAAGAGTCACTATAGACTTCTTTCAACATAATGATGTCACATTGTTACCATGGCCACCAAGATCTCCCGACTTATCCCCAATTGAGCACGTGTGGGATATGATGGGTAGGAGATTGCTCAATTTGCAACGTCCTCCTCAGACTCTAGAAGCACTTCGAGAGGAGTTGGTGGTTGCCTGGAATGAGATACCACAGGAGGACATTGACCACCTGATCAGAAGCATGCCTAGGCGCGTTGGAGAATGCGTAGCACATCAGGGTGCATCCACACATTGTTAAAGGTTAAAGGGCTTTAAAGCAGTGCAATCATTTTGAAATTTTTATCATTTACTTATTATGCTTCATTAAGTGCTTATACAAAATTTTATTAAAATAAAACCTTTTAAACTGGGTGTTCGGATTTATATGTCACTTAGTATATATTATGTTTTAGATATATTCATTGGTCAGAAGATTTAGGAAGATAAGATTAAGAAATTTGACGGTTCCTATACAGACTTGTTTGTAATTATGGGAAAATAAAGAATTGAATTTGAACTTTTGTATATGGGTGAAGATGTGGTATTTTGGATTTCAATATTCTACCCAAAATAACTTGAGCAAATTGTAGTTGTAGAAATGAATAATATAAATAGTGTAAAATATGCTTTATTTGGAACATCAACCATTAAGAGTTAGGCACACCGTGGCGGCTCGTAGCAAAATAAAACAGGTGTTCTGCAAATCCGAACTTAACTATTTTTTATATGTCATTTTGATCCTGCGCTGCTTCGCTGAAATTTTCCATGGTCGAAATAAATTCCTTTTCAATGGACAGCATCGACAACACTGTAAGGCGATCCTGAGTCATAGTATTACGAAGAAAAGTCTTGATTCTTTTCAATGTTGAGAAATTTCGCTCAGCCTCTGATGTTGACATAGGAGTTGTAACAATAATTTGTGATAGCTTTTCGTTTATAATTATAAGAAAAAATGAATCGAACTAACAAAAATAGAATACATACAAAAAGCAGGTGATTCCATCTAAAGGAAAAAACAAACAAGAAAAATTAGCAAAAAACATATTTCACTCAAGTGAGAAACATAGCATAAATTGTTTAAGTAATTCCTAGATACTCCCAGAATGCTGTTTAAACTTTCAGCATGTGTATCACAATAATTAGATATGGCATTGAAAGTTTCACACATTACATATATGGGTGCTTTCAAAAATAAATTTGTGCGAGCCCTCTCATAGTAAAAGGTTTGAACAGTAACAGTTTGAATAGATCTGACAAAGTTTAGTTGAGCCTCAATCTCATTAGCATCAATTTGATTGTTCAGCAGTTATGCAAGAAAACAATTGATGCACACTTCCTCCTGACCTCTAAAGAACGTATTTGAAACCTAGACAATAAAAAGTTCAGATATACCCTGCTCAGGATATGCACCATCAAACTTGAAAGATGAAATTTTGAGAATTAATATAGTAGTTGTAATTTGGGTTACAAATTAACAGTGACTCTGGGCGGCTGAAGCTTCTGCAGTTTCAGTGTTTGGTGAAAAACTACACCCAAGCCCTCAATTGAGTCACAACGATTTATATAAACATCCCTCCAATCTTGTGATTAAATTTACAAAGGGAAAAGGAAAAGCTGACTGCACTACATTTAGACGCTTTAAGAAATAAAGCTACTCAAGTATCAATGTCACACTGAGGTTTAATACAATCAGCCTCAGAATCAATAATTCCGAATAATTCTAAATCATCCGCAACTTAAATATTGTGCATCATCATCAATAAATTTTTGAACCCTGAGGCTGTAGTTCTAGTATTTACTCTGATAAGTGTCACACGGTGCGAATTTCAATGGTATATCTTGTCACTCACTTCGAAGTTGAGTCATTTATTTTAACAGTGAGTAGATCTGATCAAAAGAAATGTTTTTTCCTTTACCATTTTTCTGGTAAAATTAAAGTAACAAAGTTATAGCCCTTTGGAAGTTTGAGTACCGCCCTGTCTCAATAATAATATTATGTGCTCGTGTTTGGCGACAACGGATATAATCCGCCTTATCGGTTCATCGCATCGGAAACAAAAAAGCGAAAGAATTTGATACGATGTTTTTACAATTATTTTATTCAGTTGTATACAGTCAGTGTCAGTCGGTAACGCGTGAGTGAATAGTGGTGTCTGTTGCGTGGCTCAAACGAAATCAAAAATGGCACATGTTTATGCGGATCGGTTTCCCAATCGAGTGCAACCAACCCCTCGTGCCTTTGTTAATGTAGTACAACGGGCTCGTGAATCAGGTGACTTAAGACCTCACAGGGGACGGCATGCCGGTGCTCCAAGACCTCACGATCAAATACAGGTCCGCACTGAAATACTTGTCGGGAGGATACTTTATAAAACAAGGTAAAATTTTTTTTTTATTTTTTTTTTATTTTTGCACACATATTTTGGTTTATCTTCCTTCTACAATCATTATCTGAAAATTAATGACTCAACTTCAAAGTCACCCTGTATATTGTGCAACCACGTGAAAAATAACGATTCTTGGATTCAAAAGTCATCACATACAGTAATATAATAATGTTAATTTTTTTAGAGGTCATGTACGTTTTTGTCACTACCCTGGCATCACTTCTCTGGTAGTTTTCATGTCAATTCTTTTTTCTACTTTTCTTCTTTATATACTTTATACCGTTTTGTCGTTTCTTTACATTAAAAAATGTTATAAACAATGAAAGCAACGCTGCGACATGCAATAAAAAAATAGCTTTCATTTATTTTTTATAGCTTAAATGCTACGGCCCGGCCCCACATTTTCCCTTGGTATGTATAATAGCTGTCAAAATCAAAATATTATCTGACCCTGGCAAATATGTATCACATTCACATATCATATAGTTTTGCGACATGATGAATATGGAAACAGAATAAGCTATTTTTGTAGTTGCCACCAAAATGCTGTATATTCACCCATATACCTTTTTTTATAAATCATTATCGTATACAGTTAGAGAGTTACTTGAAAAAAACGGATAGCATCCTTGTCTCTGTAGGGGCCCCCCTTATTACACTATACTTTTGTTTCCTATATACTTGAGAGATTGTTCTCAAGGAAAAATTACAAATATTAAAAAAAAAACACAAGTTAAAGGTATGGCTCTTAGTAATCTCCCCATATAACGAATATCTTGGCAACTCTTTGGGGATACTCTTAACATTTATTTCACTTTGCAGATGTTGAATTAGCGGGCTACAGCAGAATGGTTTTGATGGCCAAGACCACTTTGGCTAATAACTTGGCTCCATCAGACCATGAATTAATGTTATCCCTGGTCATGGAAATAGCAAAGGAACGTTTCAAGCAAAAAGAGTACTTCCGCGCCATAGAAGTCCTGAAAATTCCAATGAGAAAAATTCCAAATAAAGTTACAAAAGACGTCATCAACATGCTTCTAGAGCTACTGCTTATTTGTGAGAGATATCTTGAATGTTTGGACATTTTCACACAGTATTGTGGTTTCGAGTTTGATATCAGTATAACAGATGATAATAAAATTGTAATGAATGCCTACAAGATACCAGATAACTTAGAAATTGATCTCAAGACACACTTCATCATATTCCTTGTCAAACTTACAACAGAAAATCTATATTCACCTTTGATTGATAAAATGGTTATAGAGGGCGATGTAGAACTGTTTGGAGATCTTTACTTGGACATAGCTGATGCTTTATTGGCAAAAAAACATTATACGGAAGCTTTGAAATTGTTGATACCACTGGTGAAAAGCAAAAGGTTTTCACAAGCTGCTGTTTGGCTAAAGTACGGTGAATGTCTAGCTGGTTGTAAACTAGACGACATGGCTATTGAGGCTTACTATACTGTAATGACTATGGCACCAACTCATATCGAGGTTCTCTATCCTCTCGGAAAGCTCTTGATTGAACAAGGAAAGAAAGAAGAGGCCATGTTGGTGCTCAACAAGGATTTGACCGGAAATGTGCTTGATGTGGCTGTACTGTTGGAAAAGTTGAAACTTTTAGAGCAGATTGAGGACTGGGAGGGTTACTGGAAAAGTGTGGATTTGCTTCTTTCCAGGTATGTGTATTCATTAAGGAGACGCCCAACCAAATGCTGTGATCGAATGTTCACAAACAATTTCTACCATCAGCCATTTTGACAAATACTAATTTCTTTAGAAGTAATAAGAACATACTCTGTTTTCCGTTGTCACGTGCAAAAATCGCGTAACCTATCTTTTACTATTTTGATCACTTACTAGTATGTAATTTGAATTTCTCTTTATTAATGATAGAATGCCCATTCCTAGGCCAAACCCTTTTCAATTATTTTCTTTCCGTAAATTTCACAGTTTATTGATTGTATGATTTCGCACGTATTATATCTTTCTTTTTCAGTGATTCAGACTTGTATTGAAAAAAAACTGTGGTTTTTCTCTGTTATTTGATTTCCTATCTAACATATCTTCTTCAAGTCCACTCATTGAGTCTTCCTCTATAAAGTCAGGTGTTTCGTGTCAGTCACTTTCCTCCTGAGATTGTGGTGTGAGCGCCACTTGTTTAACCTCCAGATTCTGAGATATTTGGTGCCGAACACCAGTTTGGAGTAGTATACCTTCATATTGTACCTTACGTTTAGTTGGTTTGGTTTGGGTGCTACCCCGTCCATTTTCTTAGGGGATTTTAAGCTTCACCGTTGGAAGGCATTGCGGAGAACCACCACACACTCCTCCAGCTTTGTTTTGTAGCTGATATTGCTAGAAGCCACCCCTTCCCCTTGACCAAAAAAACCTTGTCCACATCAGGGAAAAAGAACATTCTTTGTGAAATCTGACATCAACCTTCCAAAGAAAGATCACCCCTCAACTTGATGATGATATACATTTCATCTAAACCATCATATATCCAAGATGGATGATAAATGCAAGCCAATGAATTGTAACACTTTTTTGCCTTTGCCATGTGATTTGTAAAAGGTTTTTTTATAGTAATGGACATACTGCAGTAGATTGTATACTAAGTGACATATAAATCCGAACACCCAGTTTAAATGGTTTTATTTTAATAAAATTTTGTATAAGTACTTAATGAAGCATAATAAGTAAATGATAAAAATTTCAAAATGATTGCACTGCTTTAAAGCCCTTTGACCTTTAATAATGTGTGGATGCACCCTGATGTGCTACGCATTCTCCAACGCGCCTAGGCATGCTTCTGATCAGGTGGTCAATGTCCTCCTGTGGTATCTCATTCCAGGCAACCACCAACTCCTCTCGAAGTGCTTCTAGAGTCTGAGGAGGACGTTGCAAATTGAGCAATCTCCTACCCATCATATCCCACACGTGCTCAATTGGGGATAAGTCGGGAGATCTTGGTGGTCATGGTAACAATGTGACATCATTATGTTGAAAGAAGTCTATTGTGACTCTTGCAACATGTGGTCGGGCATTATCTTGTTGGAAAGTTGGATCTGCCAGGGTGTCAAGATAGGGTAAAAGTTGGGGTTCTAGAACTTCGTGGATATAACGCTGCGCGTTCATGTTACTCCTGATGAAGATTCAAGGTGACCTGGAACCATAAGCTATAGCACCCCAAACCATAACTCCAACAATGTGATGAACATGCCTTTCAACAAAAAACTGTGGATTCCTCCTTTCACCACGTCGCCTTCTAACCCTGGCACGACCATCGTCCATGCCTAAACAAAATCGAGACTCGTCACTAAAGACAATACTGTTCCATTCCTGATCCCAGAGTGACCGTTGTATGCACCACTCAAGGCGATTACGTCGGTGTTCCCGAGTTAAAGGGAGGACCCAGTGTGGCCGGTATGAAAACAAGCCAAAACTTCTCATTCGTCGGTAAACACTTCGCATGCCAATAGGTCTTCCGTGTTCTGCAAACCATTCATTTGCAATGGACCTGGTAGTGGAGAAACGGTCCCATAAGGCCAATAATCTTAGGCGGCGATCTTCACGGTCTGTTGTTCTACGGCGGCGTCCAGTGCCCCTTGCTCTTTGCGTACGGCCTTCTCGAAGCCATGCCTGACAACACCTAACCATAGTGTCTACACTTCTTTGCACTCTAACTGCAATTGCCCGAAAAGAAAGTCCAGCTTCCCGAAGTCCCACTATACGGCCCCTATCAAACTCACTAAGTTGACGAAATCGTACAGGTCTCCGTACTCTAGGCATCGTAACCGATCGTAAAGGATGTCAAGAACCAAAATCCGCCAACGTTGATTCTTTACTGCGGCTGAAATATTCATTTTTAGAGCGTTAGTGAATTAAAAAAAAGCAGTATAAAAAGCAGAATGTCCAACTGATAAGGCTGAAAATTTGTTCACTTGTTATTTACAGTAAGATAAATACATTCACCAACTGTTATTAAAATAAAACCATTTAAACTGGGTGTTCGGATTTATATGTCACTTAGTTATTTCTAATTTGTATAACAAATAGTGTGGTCAAAAGAAGAAAATGAAGATTAGATTTTAAAATACTCATAAGTCAATTTTTTCAAATACAGATCGTCTTTTTATGATTTCATCGTATTAAACATTGAGAATAAGGTTAATTTTGTATAAAGTTGTCTACTTTACGCAAATTAGCAGTTTCTGCGATATATGGAAATATTGGATTTTCTCTTGCTTCTACCATAAGATAATCTGTGTTGGCCGTGACGCGGCGATAACTATGGAATCTATACAGGGTGCTCGAAAAATAGACGGAGATATTTTAGAGGGTGATTCCTTGTTAAAAAATATGAAAAAAGTTCCTATAAACATGGGTTCGAAAATGCGTTTTCAATGTGATAAATTAAAAAAAAAACATGTTTATTGATATCTTAAAAAATATTTACTCGATTCTGTTGAAATTTGGCATTATTATTTATTATATTAAGATTAAAATTAATAACCAGTGGCGTCCCGGAGGCAAAAATGGGCGCCAATACCGTTTTTGTAAGTTTAATATTTTCTGTTTGATTAAGCATCTAAAAATACAACTTCCTTGCCTCTTGTATTTTTTTCGTATCTCGTTTTCGAGAAAGAAAAAATAAAAACCTTTTATTGCATGTCTCTGGACAAAATTGGTTTATTAATTTTTGCTAAAAAAATCACAACTGCCTTGGAAAACAAAAAAAATTGCATTTGCATCTGCTCGCCAGGTCTTCTAGAATTATTCACGTAATTAGGGAAAGTATTACGGGAAAGAGGTAAATTTTCTTATGTCTTTTTCGTGATGTTTTTGAGTTAGATGAGGCAGTTTTACGTGTCGTGGAACAAAATCCTCGTATCAATACCAGGACTGTAGCAACTAGAGTAGAGGTTAATCATTCCAACAGCACTGTATGGCAGGTTCTCTCTGAGCGACTTTTGTATCGCTATCATGTCTAACGTGTGCAATCATTATTAGCAAGATATTTTCTACCTCATTTACTGTTTTGCCAGTGGTATTACCATAAGGTTAATAATATTAGGAATTTCAATAAATCCATACGTTTTACGGACGAAGCAGGATTTCGGTAGGATGGTATTATTAATTACCATAACACTCACGTATGGAGTGACGAAAATCCTCGTGCTTACGTACAATGTCGCCACCAGTAACAATTTTCTTTTAATGTGTAAATGGGTAGTGTTGGTGACTATTTAATTGGCCCTTTCTTTTTCCCTTAAGATTAAACGGTGAATCTGATTTAGAGTTTTTTCGACAATAATTGCCCGTACTGCTAGAAGAAGTTCCTTTAAATGTACGTAACCAAATAACTTTTATCTACGATGAGGCTCTTCCGCATTCTTGTATACCTGTCAGAACACTTCTGAATAACACCTTTGGTGAAAATGGGTTGGAAGAGGTGGATCACCTCGCTCCTCTGACTTAAATCCAACAGATTTTAATTTATGGGGACACCTCAAGACAATGGTTTACGCTAATCCGACAGAAATAATAGAAGAATTAAGAAACAAAATCGTAAATGCTAGCGAAGAAATAGGCCTCGAATTTTAGCTAGAGTTCGTTGTTCAATGATTCGTCGGGTGAAATGGATGGTGGACATCTCCAACATTTGTTGTAGTATATTTTATGTCATGGTACCTATTGAAAAAGTTGCAACAACACTCTTTCCTAGAAATTTTTTAGATTTTTTGTTTTCCAAGACATGTGATTTTTTTAGCAAACATTAATAAACCGATTTTGTACAGTGACATGCAGTAAAACGGTTGTTTTTCTCGAAAACGAAGTGAGATACGAAGAAAATACAAGAGGCAAAGAAGTTGTATTTTTAGATGCTTAATCAAACAACAAATATTAAAGTTACAAAAAAGGCAGTGACGTACATTTTTTGCCAATAATATTCGCTACCTGGGACGCTACTGGTCCTAATAATTTTTTAATCTATTTAGGGCTAAATTAGCCTCTTAATACAACAAATAATATTGCCAAATTTCAACAGAATTAAGTAAATGCAGGGTGTCCGCAAAGTTGGGGTTTTCCTTTTCAGAAACAACTACCCTTGAAATAACAAAGGTAATGTGTAGTGAAACGAGGGCGACCAAGTAAAAAAAAATAAAGGAAAAAGTACTCACTCTCCAGTTGACGAGAAGGGCTAAGTACGTCTCTGCCCGAAATCATACCGCTCCAACAGAAAATGAAATCAGCTGATGCGCTACCGAGCAGACGCAGGCAATGAGCATACCGTTCACCATGCCAGCACAAACATTCACCGAAAATGTTTGTTGAAAATGTGCCCGACGGACAGCGTGCAAATTTTCTACTGACCAAACATGAGTGTTGCGAAAGTTATTCACCCCATTACGCGTGAACGTAGATTCGTCTGTCACCAATATGCACTTCAAAAAGTCCGAATTATTGTCATGTTGATGCAACAACCACTCACAAAACCACACTCTTGCTGGAAAATCGTCAGGTTGAAGGGCTTGTACACGTTGGACGTGAAACGGATACAGCCCCTCTTCACGCAGCGTTTGCCACACTTTAGTTTTTGATACTTGCACTTCTCTAGCCACGTCTCTAGTGCTTGTTGAGGGATTCTCGTCTACGCGATTAACTCTACACGCGTGACCGTAACCGTCGGTTGGAGGTTGCATACTGACCTGACACACTGACCCCGACCCAGTTCTGTCGTCGAGTTGAGCTAGTATTCTAGTACCACTTGGGGTGTCGCGGCTACAGGACGGTATTCAGATATTTTTGATGTTGCAGAGCCCTTTATCTCGGTTCCCTTAAGACATTGGTGTATATGGTACTAAGAAAAATTGCTTATGTTTTCAAGATCTACACGTCGTGTAAAGGAAAACCCCAACTTTGCGGACACCCTGTATTTTTTAAGATATTAATGTTTTTTTTTTTAATTTATCACACTATATCGCGAAAACTCTGCATTTCCGGACCCATAGAAACATTTTCCATATTTTTACCAAGGAATCACCATTTAAAATATCTCCGTCTATTTTTCGAACACCCGGTATACGAGGAGAAGTGGCGAAATGAGAAAAAACTACCCCTAAACTTGTCGCCTAACTAAGGGCGCAGTGATCGAAGCGAGTGCGAGTACCAGCTACTGTGCATGCGCAGGGTATCTGAGATTATAGTATGACATCTGGCCTCTGGAATCTGCAGTTATCTGTTTTTTTGATAAAACTAGAAGTTTATGCCTTTGCCAGACAATTCTGCTATAATCTAGTTCTACTGTAATTTATCATCCACGAAAATCAAGTTTTATAAAAAAATAAATACCTGCAGATTCTAGTAGCCGGATGTTAAACTATTAGGAAAGTGTTGCCAGAACAATCACAAGAATCCCTCAGAACTTCCAAAATCTAAATCACAGTTAATCAATGAAAATGAGTAGGTTTGGTTCAAAGAGCGGGGGAGCGGGGGCTTTCTGACCGCGAAACGTCTGACTTGACCCAAATCATTATATCCTCAAAAAATCCCCCAAATATGTGGGAAAATATCCCAACATGGCAACCCTGTCAAAGCATCACTAGTACTCCAGGCGTCAAGTTTTGGGGTCGTTTTTACAGCATGAATAGCATTGTCGTAGTTTCTCCTGGTATCTAGACTCCTTGATGATATATCCCTATAACCAAATGAGATTACCTTATGATAAAAGCTTTAAAGCAATTAAAAAAACAATATTCCGATTCATATATTTCGAATACTATTTATTTGTGAAGCAGACAATATATAAAATTAATCTTATTTTCAACAATTAATACGATGACATTATGAAAAAAGGCGTCAAGTAAGTTGATTCTTTATTTTTTACGCTACGCTGTCATCAGTTCAAGGATATTGGCCTTCACCATGCACAGTGCACGCAGTCGACGTTAGTGTGGAAGCTATTGCTAGGTACGGCCACCGACGCTTATCCATCGGAGGACTATGTCGCACGTATCGAAACCCGGCATTAGGAGATATTTCCAAGTTTTAAGGGTAAATGTACTTACTAGGTTGGAGGCGTATAAATATACCAACGTAAAAAATTGAGATATACCCTTCCCTCACCTCCTGCAACCCCTAACCCCCAATTCTTAACCCCTACAATTTTTTCCGAAAATGATCAGGATTGTCTGAAACGTCAAAAGATGAAGTTTGAACGATTTTTTTGGGCCTATTTCTCCACCGCCACCGGACCGATTTTCGAAAACTATAAAGCTTTGGTGTCCTTGGCATAAAAAACATAATGTATCATTTTCGAAAATTTTTGCGATTACGAAAAGGTGGTTTCCGTCTGAAAAATCGACTTTTAGGGTTTGCTAAAAACTAGTTTCAGTCTATTTTTTGTCTCCACCTTGTACTATTTGCATGCTATTCCTATACGGAATAAAATCTACTATAATAGGACCCCTACTTCTAGAAACATGTTACAAATCATATGGCAAAGGTAAAAATACGAGAAAAATTGTTCTAATCCATTAGCCTTCATTTGCCATTTTTTTCAAAATTGAGACATCTCAGAAACGGTTAGACATAATATGTAAAGGATGATATACACATGAAATGAATTTAGAGCGTCGCGTAGAATCAAAAACTTTAATAATATATTATCTTAAATAAGCAAGCTGGTATCTATTTCCGGTACAACCGGAAGCATCACCATTTTGAAAATATTTTAGCCGAATGGCTTCCATCAGTCATTCAAAGCTGTCTTATGTCAAATTTCTGAGTAATTGATCAACACAGTTGAGTCATTTATTTTAACTGCTTGTAGGACTCGTCAAAATGAGTTGACGTACCAAAAATCACCTATATAAAAGTTGCTTGATAAAAGAAATAGTGAAAGATTACACAGATTTTTTTGATATTCTCGACCACTGCCGTATAAAATCTTAGCGTTTTTTGTTTACTACTATTATCGTTTATCTAAATTTGGTAAACTTTTTGTGTGATTGTATAGTTTTCAGTATGAGGCTTTGGTTCGATCAGTTGTATCAGTCTTTTAATAGTGCGTATACTTTAATCTGTCTGATTATTTTGTGCGAAAAAATGAGAGTGCCAACAAAATGCAGCTGCAGCATGCAGGTTGTATCTGGAAAGGTTTCCTTTAAGAAATCATCCGGCACCCACGGATGTTTGTAAATTTAGTTATTAGACTTCGTGACACAGGATATTTAAAAAAACAAGAAGACCTGCTGAACCTGAAATGTTACAAATTGAGGAAGACATTTTACAAATGGTCGAAGACGACCCATCAATGAGTACTAGAGCCATAGCAGCTCAAGTTGAAGTGCCTCATAGTAAAGTGTGGATGACAATACGACAAGAACAGTATTATCCTTATCATGGTCAACGGGTACCTGCGTTACAACCTAGGAGAGTTACATTTTGCCACTGGCTTTTAGAACAGCTCGGCAGAAATGAAGATTTTACGAAATTAATTTTGTGTACAGACGAGACCACATTTAGAGAAATGGAGCGCACAATTTCCACAACAATCATGTTTGGGCAGTAGAAAATCCGCAAGCTGTAAAAAGAACTCATTTTCAACATAGATTTTCATTAAATGTTTGAGCTGGCGTGGTAAATGGCATGTTTATTGGACTCCACCTAGACTGACCGGTGAAATCTATTCAGATTTTCTTCGACACAGTCTGCCACAATTATTAGATGTTCTCTAAACGTGAGCCAGAATATATTATATTTTTCCTGCATGATGGGGCCCACCACATTTTAGACTAGAAGTTCATGAACATCTAAATAATGAGTTTCCGAATAGATGGATAGGGCGCAATCGCGCAGTGGACCCATTTCTTGGCCAGCGCGCTCTCCGGATTTAACGCCTTGTTTTCTGTGGAGCTATTCGAAATAGTTGGTGTACCATGATGGAGCAGTGAATACTCTGGAAGAACTTCAACAGCGCACTGAAAATATACTAAGTGACATAAATCCGAACACCCAGTTTAAATGGTTTTATTTTAATAAAATTTTGTATAAGTACTTAATGAAGCATAATAAGTAAATGATAAAAATTTCAAAATGATTGCACTGCTTTAAAGCCCTTTGACCTTTAATAATGTGTGGATGCACCCTGATGTGCTGCGCATTCTTCAACGTGCCTAGGCATGCTTCTGATCAGGTGGTCAATGTCCTCCTGTGGTATCTCATTCCAGGCAACCACCAACTCCTCTCGAAGTGCTTCTAGAGTCTGAGGAGGACGTTGCAAATTGAGCAATCTCCTACCCATCATATCCCACACGTGCTCAATTGGGGATAAGTCGGGAGATCTTGGTGGCCATGGTAACAATGTGACATCATTATGTTGAAAGAAGTCTATTGTGACTCTTGCAACATGTGGTCGGACATTATCTTGTTGGAAAGTTGGATCTGCCAGGGTGTCAAGATGGGGTAAAAGATGGGGATCTAGAACTTCGTGGATATAACGCTGCGCGTTCATGTTACCTCTGATGAAGATTAAAGGCGACCTGGAACCATAAGCTATAGCACCCCAAACCATAACTTCAACAGTGTGATGAAGATGTCTTTCAATAAAAAACTGTGGATTCCTCTTTCACCACGTCGCCTTCTAACCCTGGCACGACCATCGTGCATGCCTAAAAAAAATCGAGATTCGTCACTAAAGACAATACTGTTCCATTCCTGATCCCAGAGTGACCGTTGTCTGCACCACTCAAGGCGATTACGTCGGTGTTCTCGAGTTAAAGGGAGGACCCAGTGTGGCCGGTATGAAAACAAGCCAAAACTTCTCATTTGTCTTCCGTGTTCTGCAAACCATTCATTTGCAATGGACCTGGTAGTGGAGAAACGGTCCCTTAAGGCCAATAATCTTAGGCGGCGATCTTCACGGTCTGTTGTTCTACGGCGGCGTCCAGTGCCCCTTGCTCTTTGCGTACGGCCTTCTCGAAGCCATGCCTGACAACACCTAACCACAGTGTCTACACTTCGTTGCACTCTAACTGCAATTGCCCGAAAAGAAAGTCCAGCTTCCCGAAGTCCCACTATACGGCCCCTATCAAACTCACTAAGTTGACGAAATCGTACAGGTCTCCGTACTCTAGGCATCGTAACCGATCGTAAAGGATGTCAAGAACCAAAATCCGCCAACGTTGATTCTTTACTGCGGCTGAAATATTCATTTTTAGAGCGTTAGTGAATTAAAAAAAAGCAGTATAAAAACCGGAATGTCCAACTGATAAGGCTGAAAATTTTTTCACTTGTTATTTACAGTAAGATAAATACATGCACAAACTTTTATTAAAATAAAACCATTTAAACTGGGTGTTCGGATTTATATGTCACTTAGTATACTTGTGCTATAATTCGTGGACACCAGGATTTCATTTGACGAAGCTTGTAAAGAGTCGTGGATTCGCTGAGCAAGATTATCCATTTAACTTGATGATTTTTTTCAATAATTTAATCTAACTCTCTTATTATGCAACTTTTATATAGGTGATTTTCGGTATATCAACTTCTTTTGATGACTTCTACAAGCTGTTAAAATAAATGACTCAACTTTGAAATAGTACAAAAATGACACATGCGAATTCAAACTTCCATTCAAATTGTGGACGCAGAGGTGCATCAATGTTGAAGACAGTTCAAAATACACATTTAAATGAGAAAATGCCATGAATACTACATTGCTAGCTGTGCGAATAGTTGCCGAGATCTTCACGAGATGTTTTCAAATCGTGTGTTTTACAGGCATTGCATAGTATTAAAAAACTACGAAGAGCTGAACGACGTGATATCCCATAGCAGAAAATTCCAAGAGAAAGTGAACGCCGTGAATAGAGTAAGGGCGTTCAGAGGCGACCCTCCATGCGTTCCGTCTTCTCTCGTGAGCACCCGCGAGCCTCCAGTCGAAGCTGAGTTCGAATTATTCAGGAAGATCCTTCAAAAAGCCATGGATCAGAAGCGGTATCCATTGCTTCAGAAGTACGTTTTCATGGGCCTCAGTTCGAAGAAGTTTACCAATTACTACGGTAAGTAAAACTGACGTTTTAGGCTAATGTTGCCTAAGATACTGCAACTCACATTTCGCCAGGATACTTTGATGGTTGCAAACTGCTAAGGTACTCTATACAGGGTTATCCAAATTAAGTGTTCACCATTAGTAACTTTGTTATTAGTGAAAATACAAAGTTGTTTGAATTAGCAAACGCTGGTAAAAATGAGAAATAAAAAAAACAATTGAGAGTCGTTATTTTGATTTTTTTCAGTAAAATAACATTTTTTTAAATGGAGACCCCTGTATATTATATTTTTTTCTGTTAAAGCATCAAATTTTAAACAAAAAAGCTTACAATAACTTTTCTCCTAGGTTACAAATTGTTGAAGTTATGGCCTCCAATCTGAAACTATTAAATTGTATCGACAAACTTTATTTTCAACATCAACTTATAATCTTACAAAATACAATAACAATTTTTTTTAAAGAAGATGCTCGAAAACACCACCTTGTTCTTCAATACATTTTTGGGCACGTTTTTCAACTGCTCGAACTGTCTTAAGTATGGTCCTACCATCTATCTGGGTTATCTTTTCCCTAACTGCAGTCTTTAACGCGTCAAGGTTATCGTACCTTCGCTTGTAAATTTGGTTCTTTAAGTAACCCCACAAGAAGTAATTAAGTGGGTTTAGATCTGGTGATCTGGGAGGCCACTGTATTGGGCCATTTGTTCCTATCCACTGATCATTAAAAGTAGTACTTAGAAAATGATAAGTACCTCTGGAGTTGTGGGCAGGTGCGCCATCTTGCTGAAAATGCAGATGATGTCTACTTATAAGGTCCAATTCGTCTAAGAAATTAGTCAGAATTTCTGACATAAATTCCACATATCTTTCACCAGTTAGGGTTCCCTCATAAAAGAACGGGCCAACAATTTTTGAACCAATTATACCGCACCAAACGTTGAAACTGAAACGGACTTGTGGGCCTCTTGGATGTACTAACAAAAGATTTTCTCTTGACCAATAATGGTGGTTTTTTCTATTAAACATTCCAGAATTTGAAAAATTTGATTCATCTGTCCATAAAAGGTAACGAAAGTTATTTACATTTTGGCGACAGAAGCTAAGATACCAATGGCAAAAAACAAGTCTTCTCTCTGGATCCCCTGCCAAAAGCGTTTGAACTGGTCGGTACTTATACGGAATAAATTTGTATTTTTTTAAAATCCTTTGAACAGTACCATAACTGAAATTAGAGTCCTTGAGAATATCTGCTATTGAATTCTCACGATAAACTTCAAAATATCCAATAACTGCAATTTCCGTGGCCTCGCTTATTATGAATTCTTTTTTTGCCCTTGTTTTAGCAAAAACATTTTCGTTGCCCCTAAATTTTCGATAAAGTCTCAGAAAATATCGTTCATACGGTTGAATGCGAGCGGGATATAATTCACATTCTTGCTCTCAAGGAGGATTTTCTGCACACTAAATAGCATTCTAACATATCACACTTTTCTTCATGGGAGAAAATTTTTCTTTAAATTAATGACACAATAAAGCTTATAAACAAGTATTTACACTAATGTTTGACATTATTTGATTTTATCATTGTTTTCCAAAGCCTTCTAGTTGCGAGTATGTCCAGTTTAACAATTTGTCGCTTATCTTAATGCTGTCAAATCGCGAACGCCATGTTGTTTTCATAGCCGTCTTAATATTATAATACTGCAAATAATTAAAAATATTTATCGTTATTTTGACTTTATTTTTGACTTTAGCGGAAAAGTCATTATGAACTTTTTTGTTTAAAATTTGATGCTTTAACAGAAAAAAATATAATATACAGGGGTTTCCATTTAAAAAAATGTTATTTTACAGAAAAAAATCAAAATAACGACTCTCAATTGTTTTTTTTTATTTCTCATTTTTACCAGCGTTAAAAATGCTACTAGTTTGCTAATTCAAACAACTTTGTATTTTCACTAATAACAAAGTTACTAATGGTGGACACTTAATTTGGATAACCCTGTATTTAGGGTGTCCAGTGTCTTGCAGAGTTCCGGAGTGATGTTTATTTCTCGTCGAATGTTGTCTTTAAGCTCCTCCAGTGTTCGTGCATTATTAGAATACACTTTTGACTTTAGGTAACTCCATAAAAAATAATCGCATGGCGTAAGGTCGGGTGACCTAGGAGGCCAGTGAATGTCTCCAAACTTCGATATAACTTTTTGAGAAAAAAGTATTTTCACCGTGTCCATCGATCCTCTTGAAGTATGGGCAGTTGCCCCATCTTGTTAAATCGACGTTCTGTTCTTACAATAGGAGCAATCATGTCCTTGTATCGTTCGGAATTGACTGTCAATGCCTGACCGTTTTCATATTCAAAGAAATACGGCCCAATAATACCGCTAGAGGATGTGGCGCACCAAACAGTTACCTCTGGACTATGTAGCTGTTGTTGATGTTTCTCTTTTGGATTCGTTGGTGCCCAATATCTGCAATTTTGATAGTTCACATAACGGTCTAAGTAAAAATGAGCCTCGTCACTAAAAACAACGTTCTCGAGTCTGCGCTGCGTAGGAAAAAGATTTAACATCCGTTCAGCAAAAGATTTCCGTAATACGTAATCACTTTCCTTTAAAGCATGGACTGATTTTATAAGGATGAAAACACATTTTTTTCTTCATTATGCCATGCAGTGTTGACCTTCCGTACAGAATGCCGAGGATTTGCAATGACCGAATCACTTACTCGACGCACATTTTCTTCGGTTGATACAGTAGGGATGGGGCCAGGAATGGGTTGACTAAGAGTAGAGACTGTTTCACAGAATCTCTTAATCCACTTTTTCAATAGCTTCTTACTTGGGGCATCTCTTGGTCGGCGAATGTTTTATCGTGTACAAAATTTCCGAAGGGCAGCTGCGTATGAATCACTACTCTTAAAGTAAGCCCCGGTACCAAAAGCACGTTGCACTCCGGTTCAACGTTCCATTGTGACTAACCCGCATGCCGAACGCGTCGATCAAGACCTCTCCCCACTTTCTCGCGTATACGGCTGCCCCGTAACTCAACTTTGAAATGTGAACTTGCCCACTGGACAAGTATGTAACTATATATATATATATATATATGTGGTTTCACGATGTAATGCTTAACTTTCGTTTTAAATATTTTTAATCTGTTTTTAATTTGTTCTTGTCATACAGCTGTGTGTAGTTTGTATAATTTTGACTATTGTACCGTGTATCCAGCTTTCACCATGTTACTGGGTGTTTCCATCTCCCTTAACGTAACTAACATTTAGCAACATCCTCACACACTACTGTAAGTTAATTTAAATTCATTTTGCACAATTGTTGCTACTTTTCTCAATGTAATTGCAGCTCCTGATGATGAGGGCAAAGACCATTGAAAGCTAGAGAGATTAAAAAAGTATAAAGAATCCTACTTGCTTAAGTTTTGTTGAAGTACCCAACAAAAGGCGGAAGTTTGAATTTTTCACCTATATTATACAGGGTTATCCAAATTAAGTGTCCACCATTAGTAACTTTGTTATTAGTGAAAATACAAAGTTGTTTGAATTAGCAAACTAGTAGCATTTTTAACGCTGGTAAAAATGAGAAATAAAAAAAACAATTGAGAGTCGTTATTTTGATTTTTTTCAGTAAAATAACATTTTTTTAAATGGAAACCCCTGTATATTATATTTTTTTCTGTTAAAGCATCAAATTTTAAACAAAAAAGCTTACAATAACTTTTCTCCTAGGTTACAAATTGTTGAAGTTATGGCCTCCAATCTGAAACAATTAAATTGTATCGACAAACTTTATTTTCAACATCAACTTATAATCTTACAAAATACAATAACAATTTTTTTTAAAGAAGATGCTCGAAAACACCACCTTGTTCTTCAATACATTTTTGGGCACGTTTTTCAACTGCTCGAACTGTCTTAAGTATGGTCCTACCATCTATCTGGGTTATCTTTTCCCTAACTGCAGTCTTTAACGCGTCAAGGTTATCGTACCTTCGCTTGTAAATTTGGTTCTTTAAGTAACCCCACAAGAAGTAATCAAGTGGGTTTAGATCTGGTGATCTGGGAGGCCACTGTATTGGGCCATTTGTTCCTATCCACTGATCATTAAAAGTAGTACTTAGAAAATGATAAGTACCTCTGGAGTTGTGGGCAGGTGCGCCATCTTGCTGAAAATGCAGATGATGTCTACTTATAAGATCCAATTCGTCTAAGAAATTAGTCAGAATTTCTGACATAAATTCCACATATCTTTCACCAGTTAGGGTTCCCTCATAAAAGAACGGGCCAACAATTTTTGAACCAATTATACCGCACCAAACGTTGAAACTGAAACGGACTTGTGGGCCTCTTGGATGTACTAACAAAAGATTTTCTCTTGACCAATAATGGTGGTTTTTTCTATTAAACATTCCAGAATTTGAAAAATTTGATTCATCTGTCCATAAAAGGTAACGAAAGTTATTTACATTTTGGCGACAGAAGCTAAGATACCAATGGCAAAAAACAAGTCTTCTCTCTGGATCCCCTGCCAAAAGCGTTTGAACTGGTCGGTACTTATACGGAATAAATTTGTATTTTTTTAAAATCCTTTGAACAGTACCATAACTGAAATTAGAGTCCTTGAGAATATCTGCTATTGAATTCTCACGATAAGCTTCAAAATATCCAATAACTGCAATTTCCGTGGCCTCGCTTATTATGAATTCTTTTTTTGCCCTTGTTTTAGCAAAAACATTTTCGTTGCCCCTAAATTTTCGATAAAGTCTCAGAAATTATCGTTCATACGGTTGAATGCGAGCGGGATATAATTCACTGTAGTATTCTCTTGCTCTCAAGGAGGATTTTCTGCACACTAAATAGCATTCTAACATATCACACTTTTCTTCATGGGAGAACATTTTTCTTTAAATTAATGACACAATAAAGCTTATAAACAAGTATTTACACTAATGTTTGACATTATTTGATTTTATCATTGTTTTCCAAAGCCTTCTAGTTGCGAGTATGTCCAGTTTAACAATTTGTCGCTTATCTTAATGCTGTCAAATCGCGAACGCCATGTTGTTTTCATAGCCGTCTTAATATTATAATACTGCAAATAATTAAAAATATTTATCGTTATTTTGACTTTATTTTTGACTTTAGCGGAAAAGTCATTATGAACTTTTTTGTTTAAAATTTGATGCTTTAACAGAAAAAAATATGATATACAGGGGTTTCCATTTAAAAAAATGTTATTTTACTGAAAAAAATCAAAATAACGACTCTCAATTGTTTTTTTTTATTTCTCATTTTTACCAGCGTTAAAAATGCTACTAGTTTGCTAATTCAAACAACTTTGTATTTTCACTAATAACAAAGTTACTAATGGTGGACACTTAATTTGGATAACCCTGTATATAGTATACTTGTGAACAAAGTGTGACGAAGAAAATATGGTCGAGTATTAAGAGCGCATCTGGGTAAAAAAAAAGTTCGGACAGTACGCACCAGATTTACCTAGGAAACGAGTCTGTAAATCACAAATATACAGCGGTTTTTCAAAAATTGTAATTTTAGACTAAGTGTTTAGATTTCGAAAAACCTCCCTACTACAACATAATTATAGCTAAAATATTTGAGAAAACATTGGAAAATAGGCTAGTTAAATTTTTGGACAAATGAAAATATCTTTCAGATAAGCAATTCGGTTTTCGAGAGGGAATATCAACCAAAGACGCAATTGCTAAGTTAACAGAAGAGATTAGAAAAAGATTAGAATTGAGTACTCCGGTACTGTGCGTATTCTTGGATCTTGCCAAGGCCTTAGACACTGTGAATCACCAGCAGATGTTGGAGACCTTGGAGGATGCAGCAGTACGAGGCGGACCTTTACAGTTGTTTATAATCTATCTCTCTAATCGAAAACAAGTAGTGAAAATTAGTGACACATTCAGTAATGAAAAGACAGTTGATTACGGTTTACCTCAGGGTACTGTGTTGGGCCCAGTCTTGTTTACAATTTACATAAACAGCATTCTAATTTCTTCGTCAGTTGGTCAAGTGTTTAGCTTTGCAGATGATACGGCAGTCCTGTATGATGATAACACTTGAGAAATGTAAAAATGAAAGCAGACCGGGATCTAGGAACTATTTTTGATTATTTTGCTTACAAACTTTTAACCGTGAGCTATGAGAAAACATTCTTTATGCCTTTTTCTAATACTTTGGTTGTCTACCTAACTTTAGCGTCCTATCCTAACCGTGTCGAACTTCGTACATCCAGAACCGGCCGATACGACCGCTCCTTTGTCCCTAGGGTGTCGAGATTGTGGAACAATCTACAAGAGGAAGCTTTTCCCAGTTCTATTAACCTTAGGCAGTTCAAAAATCGTATTAATAAAATTTCTTTGGGATCATCATAGCAGCCGCGGTGTTCCAGCATTTAGGCTTCTGCCTACGCGGCTGCTTCGATATAAAAAAAAATAGTCTACATTTGCAGCCTCTGGATATACTGCAAAAAAGAATGTTGAAAGTAATATCTGTCAAAAAATTACTTATCCTTCTGATAAATTATACTAAGTGACATATAAATCTGAACACCCAGTTTAAATGGTTTTATTTTAGTAAAAGTTGGTGAATGTATTTATCTTACTGTAAATAACAAGTGAAAAAATTTTCAGCCTTATCAGTTGGACATTCCAGTTTTTATACTGCTTTTTTTTAATTCACTCACGCTCTAAACATGAATATTTCAGCCGCAGTAAAGAATCAACGTTGGCGGATTTTGGTTCTTGACATCCTTGACATCTGTTACGATGCCTAGAGTACGGAGACCTGTACGATTTCGTCAACTTAGTGAGTTTGATAGGGGCCGTATAGTGGGACTTCGGGAAGCTGGACTTTCTTTTCGGGCAATTGCAGTTAGAGTGCAAAGAAGTGTAGACACTGTGGTTAGGTGTTGTCAGGCATAGCGTCGAGAAGGCCGTACGCAAAGAGCAAGGGGCGCTGGACGCCGCCGTAGAACAACAGACCGTGAAGATCGCCGCCTAAGATTATTGGCCTTAAGGGACCGTTTCTCCACTACCAGGTCCATTGCAAATGAATGGTTTGCAGAACACGGAAGACCTATTGGCATGCGAAATGTTTACCGACGAATGAGAAGTTTTGGCTTGTTTTCATACCGGCCACACTGGGTCCTCCCTTTAACTCGAGAACACCGACGTAATCGCCTTGAGTGGTGCAGACAACGGTCACTCTGAGATCAGGAATGGAACAGTATGGTCTTTAGTGACGAGTCTCGATTTTGTTTAGGCATGCACGATGGTCGTGCCAGGGTTAGAAGGCGACATGGTGAAAGGAGGAATCCACAGTTTTTTGTTGAAAGACATGTTCATCACACTGTTGGAGTTATGGTTTGGGGTGCTATAGCTTATGGTTCCAGGTCACCTTTAATCTTCATCAGAGGTAACATGAACGCGCAGCGTTATATCCACGAAGAAGTTCTAGAACCCCATCTTTTACCCTATCTTGACACCCTGGCAGATCCAACTTTCCAACAAGATAATGCCACATGTTGCAAGAGTTACAATAGACTTCTTTCAACATAATGATGTCACATTGTTACCATGGTCACCAAGATCTCCCGACTTATCCCCAATTGAGCACGTGTGGGATATGATGGGTAGGAGATTGCTCAATTTGCAACGTCCTCCTCAGACTCTAGAAGCACTTCGAGAGGAGTTGGTGGTTGCCTGGAATGAGATACCACAGGAGGACATTGACCACCTGATGAGAAGCATGCCTAGGCGCGTTGGAGAATGCGTAGCACATCAGGGTGCATCCACACATTATTAAAGGTCAAAGGGCTGTAAAGCAGTGCAATCATTTTGAAATTTTTATCATTTACTTATTATACTTCATTAAGTACTTATACAAAATTTTATTAAAATAAAACCATTTAAACTGGGTGTTCGGATTTATATGTCACTTAGTATATTTCCAGAGGCTGGGGTGTTTGACCTAAGGCAACTGTTTCTGCATGAAATAATTCAATTCATATACAAACACAAAAACAACTTCAATAAAACTAGCCATGCTTATAGTACTAGATATAAAGAAAATGAAAATTTAAAAATACAAACTTTTCAAAGAAATGTAAGCTTGCGATGCCACACCTTCCTATCATGTAAAATTTATAATTGTTTGCCATACAGGTACCGTATGTATGTTGCTAAAATAAACTCATTGTCTTTGATAAAATCTTTATTTAAAAAATATATTTTTTTAATTGGTAGACAAGAGACACGAAATCTAGTAGAAATTATTTACTAGAAATCGTACTACGCTAGTATTACTCCTCTTCACCCTCCATATTTCTGTAGTTAGTGGAATAAACTTTATTAAATAAGTGATTCTCCTCCTTACCTTCCATACTTACAATGTGCTTGTTGTATAAAATCCTGCTCTAAGCAAAATTTATTATCAAAATTATATAAAAAAAAATCTGCCCGTGCACAACCAACTATTTTGGTTTCAATGGGCTTTACAAGACAATTTAAAATTTTCTGTGACTTATAAAACATGTTAAGATTATTTTGTGAAAGTCAGGTATCATGTTTTATTTTACGTTTATTATTGTACTGAAGTTAGCATTTGTATTTATTAACACATTGTATTTTGGGGGAAAAAATAGTGTTTCTAAAGTTGTATCACGTATAACAATCTTAACTGCTCAGCACTGTTTTTTTTATTTTTCAGACGAATTGATGCTGCTGGGACTCTACAGCTGTATCTACAACAATGATTCCTACCACGCCAATATCTTTGTGAAATACATTCTGTTGAAATATCCCGATAACAACTTGATTTGGACCTTACTCAATCACGTGATCGTGAAAATCGTGGACTCCCGACACGTTAGATTTCTCGACAGAAGGTTACATCATGAACGTCAAAAACATCTCCTGATGCTGGCCAACAATCAAATTCCTTCAGGAAACTCGATGGTAGCGATTAATATCTACACGAAAGAGTTCAAAAAAACTAACTCGCCTCTATACGCTTTGCTTTTGGGCATAGCGTGTATGCAACATTATTTCTACACAGGCGTTGACAAGACGAAGCGAAAGTTACTGGCAGAGTTGGTGACGTACCTCTTCCACCATTACGGAAAGTTAAGATCAAAACAGGCAGAGCAAGAAGTGTACTTTAACTTAGGGAGGTTATATCAACAGATGGGTGTCAGTTATTTAGCCGAGTATTATTATAAAAAAGTGTTTGAGGTCAGAAACGAAATGTTGGAAAAGTATCCCGACACGTTGTGTTTGAATAGAGAGGCGGCGTATAATTTGCATTTGCTGTATAGGAATAGCGGTAATGTGACAGCGGCTAGGAAGGTTCTTTTTGAACATATTGTTGTATAGTTGTATATTTTTTTGTGGACTGTGATTATGATTTTTTTTGTAATATATAACTAAGATAAGTAACATGGCTGTTTCTGTTTTTGGTGGTGAAATCGTGTTATCAAAAACTATATATACTAAGTGGCATATAAATCCGAACACCCAGTAAAAAATGGTTTTATTTTAATAAAATTTTGTATAAGTACTTAATGAAGCATAATAAGTAAATGATAAAAATTTCAAAATCATTGCACTGCTTTAAAGCCCTTTGACCTTTAATAATGTGTGGATGCACCCTGATGTGCTACGCATTCTCCAACGCGCCTAGGCATGCTTCTGATCAGGTGGTCAATGTCCTCCTGTGGTATCTCATTCCAGGCAACCACCAACTCCTCTCGAAGTGCTTCTAGAGTCTGAGGAGGACGTTGCAAATTGAGCAATCTCCTACCCATCATATCCCACACGTGCTCAATTGGGGATAAGTCGGGAGATCTTGGTGGCCATGGTAACAATGTGACATCATTATGTTGAAAGAAGTCTATTGTGACTCTTGCAACATGTGGTCGGGCATTATCTTGTTGGAAAGTTGGATCTGCCAGGGTGTCAAGATAAGGTAAAAGATGGGGTTCTAGAACTTCGTGGATATAACGCTGCGCGTTCATGTTACCTCTGATGCAGATTAAATGTGACCTGGAACCATGAGCTATAGCACCCCAAACCATAACTCCAACAGTGTGATGAACATGTCTTTCAACAAAAAACTGTGGATACCTCCTTTCACCACGTCGCCTTATAACTCTGGCACGACCATCGTGCATGCCTAAACAAAATCGAGACTCGTCACTAAAGACAATACTGTTTCATTCCTGATCCCAGAGTGACCGTTGTCTGCACCACTCAAGGCGATTACGTGGGTGTTCTCGAGTTAAAGGGAGGACCCAGTGTGGCCGGTATGAAAACAAGCCAAAACTTCTCATTCGTCGGTAAACACTTCGCATGCCAATAGGTCTTCCGTGTTCTGCAAACCAGTCATTTGCAATGGACCTGGTAGTGGAGAAACGGTCCCTTAAGACCAATAATCTTAGGCGGCGATCTTCACGGTCTGTTGTTCTACGGCGGCGTACAGTACCCCTTGCTCTTTGCGTGCGGCCTTCTCGAAGCCATGCCTGACAACACCTAACCACAGTGTCTACACTTCTTTGCACTCTAACTGCAATTGCCCGAAAAGAAAGTCCAGCTTCCCGAAGTCCCACTATACGGCCCCTATCAAACTCACTAAGTTGACGAAATCGTACAGGTCTCCGTACTCTAGGCATCGTAACCGTTCGTAAAAGATGTCAAGAACCAAAATCCGCCAACGTTGATTCTTTACTGCGGCTGAAATATTCATTTTTAGAGCGTTAGTGAATTAAAAAAAAGCAGTATAAAAACCGGAATGTCCAACTGATAAGGCTGAAAATTTTTTCACTTGTTATTTACAGTAAGATAAATACATTCACCAACTTTTATTAAAATAAAACCATTTAAACTGGGTGTTCGGATTTATATGTCACTTAGTATATATGATACTTATTAGATTTTTCCTCTAGTGCTGTATTTTTAAAGGTGATTGTACCATTTTTACTAGCTTGTGATCGTTGACAATTCCAACAGTCTATTGTGGAGTCTCATGGAAATGAAGATATTATTAAATAGAAGCTTTTTCATTTTTACAACTCTGTAAATAACACACTCTGCGCTTTGTTGTTGAGAATTGCGTGGATGCAGGAATGATTGACAAAACCAAGATGAGGTTATCAGCGGGGCTGGCAATGTATTTTTTTCATCATTCTATGTATTCTTTAAATCGTCCTAATTACTCTAAATTCACACAAATTTTCAAAATTTTTCAAATTTCATGAATTCTCCAAGCGCTTTAAATTTGCTAAATTCCCAAAAATTCTTTGAATTCTCAAAATTTTCTCCAAATTTTTCAAACTCTATAAATTCTCCAACGTCCTTAAATTCTCTAAATTTCCTAAATTTTCGAAATTATCAAAAGTCTCTAGATTCTCTAAATTTTCAAAATTATCCATATTCTCTGAATTCTCCAAATTCTCCAAATTCTGTGAATCGTTAAATTCTTTGAACTGAGAGGCATTTTAATCATCATCAAGTTTATCGGGGTAGATGGAATTGTGAGATTCGCGACTATATCTCACCCTTCCACAAATTTAGTGGATATACGCAGATTTTATAGTATCTACACACAATACATAATTGTGGTTTATAAAATGTAGCGTGCACCCAGTTCATGAATATCGAACTACTTTTGTATAACAATAACACAAAACATATAACGGACATTACATATTTCCTGATAAAAATCTGTTTAGATAGAGCGATACAACCATTAACAAGGAATGAAACAAAATCAATGCTCGCACAACACTCTCGATTGTCGCTCGATTGGCTATTTCGAATATAGAGCAAAATGTATTCGGTCTAATATGGTGGCGATATACACGTTTTGTTTCTGTTTTTCATTGAGACTTGGAGCAATTGTTATTGCAGTCTCCAGTTTGGTAAGTCGTTCAGTATTTAGACGAAACATGTTAATTCTTGATAAATTCAGTTGTATGCCCCAGGTAGCCCAAAAGAATTTGGGAAGATAGTACCTTGGCGTCTTGTCGGCTACACGCCTATATGTATTACCAAATTATACTTTTTGTGTTCTGACTTAGTCAAGAAGCAGCGGAACAAGGGTCATTTAAGTAAGAATCACTTTATGACGGGGCAGGGGGAGCTTTATTTATGAACTTAAATTGTATCACAAACTAAACCATGTTTTATCGTGTTTCAACATGATCAACATAAGTATTCAAAAATTTGTTAAGTCGTGCCAGTTTTTGGATCCCGTTGGCAATAAACTCTGTCGCCCAACCGTTAAAACAGGAACTGTTTCTTTCAATATATACTAAGTGACATATAAATCCGAACAACCAGTTTAAATGGTTTTATTTTAATAAAATTTTGTATAAGTACTTAATGAAGCATAATAAGTAAATGATAAAAATTTCAAAATGATTGCACTGCTTTAAAGCCCTTTGACCTTTAATAATGTGTGAATGCACCCTGATGTGCTACGCATTCTCCAACGCGCCTAGGCATGCTTCTGATCAGGTGGTCAATGTCCTCCTGTGCCTCCTGTGGTATCTCATTTCAGGCAACCACCAACTCCTCTCGAAGTGCTTCTAGAGTCTGAGGCGGACGTTGCAAATTGAGCAATCTCCTACCCATCATATCCCACACGTGCTCAATTGGGGATAAATCGGGAGATCTTGGTGGCCATGGTAACAATGTGACATCATTATGTTGAAAGAAATCTATTGTGACTCTTGCAACATGTGGTCGGGCATTATCTTGTTGGAAAGTTGGATCTGCCAGGGTGTCAAAATAGGGTAAAAGATGGGGTTCTAGAACTTCGTGGATATAACGCTGCGCGTTCATGTTACCTCTGATGAAGATTAAAGGTGACCTGGAACCACAAGCTATAGCACCCCAAACCATAACTCCAACAGTGTGATGAACATGTCTTTCAACAAAAAACTGTGGATTCCTCCTTTAACCACGTCGCCTTCTAACCCTGGCACGACCATCGTGCATGAATAAACAAAATCGAGACTCGTCACTAAAGACAATACTGTTCCATTCCTGATCCCAGAGAGACCGTTGTCTGCACCACTCAAGGCGATTACGTCGGTGTTCTTGAGTTAAAGGGAGGACCCAGTGTGGCCGGTATGAAAACAAGCCAAAACTTCTCATTCGTCGGTAAACACTTCGCATGCCAATAGGTCTTCCGTGTTCTGCAAACCATTCATTTGCAATGGACCTGGTAGTGGAGAAACGGTCCCTTAAGGCCAATAATCTTAGGCGGCGATCTTCACGGTCTGTTATTCTACGGCGGCGTCCAGTGCCCCTTGCTCTTTGCGTACGGCCTTCTCGAAGCCATGCCTGACAACACCTAACCACAGTGTCTACACTTCTTTGCACTCTAACTGCAATTGCCCGAAAAGAAAGTCCAGCTTCCCGAAGTCCCACTATACGGCCCCTATCAAACTCACTAAGTTGACGAAATCGTACAGGTCTCCGTACTCTAGGCATCGTAACCTAAGTGACATATAAATCCGAACACCCAGTTTAAATGGTTTTATTTTAATAAAAGTTGGTTCAGCCTTATCAGTTGGACATTCCGGTTTTTATACTGCTTTTTTTTAATTCACTAACGCTAAAAATGAATATTTTAGCCGCAGTAAAGAATCAACGTTGGCGGATTTTGGTTCTTGACATCCTTTACGATCGGTTACGATGCCTAGAGTACGGAGACCTGTACGATTTCGTCAACTTAGTGAGTTTGATAGGGGCCGTATAGTGGGACTTCGGGAAGCTGGACTTTCTTTTCGGGCAATTGCAGTTAGAGTGCAAAGAAGTGTAGACACTGTGGTTAGGTGTTGTCAGGCATGGCTTCGAGAAGGCCGTACGCAAAGAGCAAGGGGCACTGGACGCCGCCGTAGAACAACAGACCGTGAAGATCGCCGCCTAAGATTATTGACCTTAAGGGACCGTTTCTCCACTACCAGCTCCATTGCAAATGAATGGTTTGCAGAACACGGAAGACCTATTGGCATGCGAAGTGTTTACCGACGAATGAGAAGTTTTGGCTTGTTTTCATACCGGCCACACTGGGTCCTCCCTTTAACTCGAGAACACCGACGTAATTGCCTTGAGTGGTGCAGACAATGGTCACTCTGGGATCAGGAATGGAACAGTATTGTCTTTAGTGACGAGTCTCGATTTTGTTTAGGCATGCACGATGGTCGTGCCAGGGTTAGAAGGCGACGTGGTGAAAGGAGGAATCCTCAGTTTTTTGTTGAAAGACATGTTCATCACACTGTTGGAGTTATGGTTTGGGGTGCTATAGCTTATGGTTCCAGGTCACCTTTAATCTTCATCAGAGGTAACATGAACGCGCAGCGTTATATCCACGAAGTTCTAGAACCCCATCTTTTACCCTATCTTGACACCCTGGCAGATCCAACTTTCCAACAAGATAATGCCCGACCACATGTTGCAAGAGTCACAATAGACTTCTTTCAACATAATGATGTCACATTGTTACCATGGCCACCAAGATCTCCCGACTTAACCCCAATTGAGCACGTGTGGGATATGATGGGTAGGAGATTGCTCAATTTGCAACGTCCTCCTCAGACTCTAGAAGCACTTCGAGAGGAGTTGGTGGTTGCCTGGAATGAGATACCACAGGAGGACATTGACCACCTGATTAGAAGCATGCCTAGGCGCGTTCGAGGATGCGTAGCACATCAGGGTGCATCCACACATTATTAAAGGTCAAAGGGCTTTAAAGCAGTACAATCATTTTGAAATTTTTATCATTTACTTATTATGCTTCATTAAGTACTTATACAAAATTTTATTAAAATAAAACCATTTAAACTGGGTGTTCGGATTTATATGTCACTTAGTATATTAGCAATAATTATACAGTGTTCGTACCATACTACAGTTGAACGTAATCCTTTATGATCTGATTTTTTCAACTTAAGGCTGGGGTTTTTCAAAATCTTATCCTAAGAAGCATCTGAATATTAAAGGACTTAGGCCCGTATCGTCAGTCGTCCCTACAATTGTAGGGCGCCTTTATGGCCTCCTTGATTGTCATAGTTTTCTACTTCTCAGTGGCAGAACTCTTTTTTGAGGTTATGTCACAAACATCTATTTGCATCAAATTGTGCTTGCTTTTGAGTTATATCATGTTTTATCAGCTTGAAATTTCCTACAATTTAAAAAGAAAACGTATCTTCACAATAGGAGAGCGCTGACGCTGACACGGGACAAGTGTAATCTAGAAATTTTTGAAGGAGAGAAAGGAGTATGACAATCAAGGAGGCCATAAACGCGCCCTTCAATAATTGTAGGGACGACTGACGATACGGGCCTTAGAGGACAAAATTTCCATATTCGTCTCCCGTTTTTGAATGAAACTTACGTACACTTAACGTAATTTGGGTCGCTGAATACGAATATTGTGGTAACAAAATCGTGTGTTTCGTATGCAATAGAATTCGAGATGGATGATCGGTCGCTTAGTGACCACATGTGAATATTAGCTTCAAATTGACGTTGGATTCGGAATTTATGAACCCAATTTTCTTTGGACTTTTGCAGATAGTTTCTCTATTTGAAATATCTGTACTTACCGAATGCCTAGAAAATGTACATGATACGAAACATAGATTGAAAGAGCTACTACAGTTTTTGGGATTGCAAGGATCTTGGACAAAATCGATACACTTGTATAGATGTAAGTCGTATCTCATGCAACATTTTGAATACTTATTGAAATAAAAAGTGATATTTTCGTGTGTTTTTGTCTTATATCTGAACAAATTAAGATAAATAAAGATTTTTTATAATTTTCTAGAAAACGAATCGACCGATTCTAAAACTCAAACGGCCAAATAAAGGACTTCGAAAGATTTTCCAAACAAGCTATTAGTCGATACCCCTTGTCATTTAAAATTTTTAAGGGGATGGCCCCGGGGGGCAGACGGTGAAAGGGGGTGGTTAAAAAGTTGTCCCCCTTGACAAATCTTTTGACGTGTCTCGGCGTTTTTTCTTTTAATCAGTGGTTTTCGATGAATCCGTGCTGAGAAGTTTTCAAATGAACAGCTTTTATAAATCCTTGTTTATTAGAATTTTTCAAGAGATGTTCTTGCTGTCGATTTGCTTATGGACTAAAAAATAGCATCATATATCAGCAAAGTTAAAAGAAATTGGTTGGAAATGTGTAAAAAACTGTAAAATTGCACTACTTTACTTTAGTACATAAATTAATAATGTCTTCAACACCATCTGAAAAACTTATAGATATATAGAAGAAACATGCATTCTCTAAATTTGAGACGTGGGGATAACTTAAGTATACCTTGTCACCATTCAACACTATTCCAAAGATCTTCCTCATACAGTGTGAGTCTTCATAAAGTGCACATATCAAAATCAGGGAAACTACACTCTATTTCATCGACGGATAAATCATCAAAAAAACATGAATTTGATTTTTTATGAATATATGAATATTTTAAAATTTTTAGTAGCAGCTTCTAACCATATTGAAATAACTCGTTACAACTTTTAAACTAAATGTCCTATCATATTGGAATACATTTTGTAGTGATTGCTGGTAAAAGGACGAGCCTGAAAAGTGAAGAATTCCAGGAAAAGTAATGACATCCATTTAGAATAAAGAAAATTTTGATGAAAATCTGTTTTTTTTCATCATTTTTACAATAATTTCAAATTTTCTATAAATATCGTCCCTTGTACCCTATTTTTTTTTATTTGTAAGTTATTCTACATGTTATCAGCTTTATAAAAGTAAAAATTGCACGTTTATTACTCAAATGTAACAGTTTCTATGAGTGTTTATAAAAAAGCCCATGCGCATCGTCTTGCTAGGCACCATTGTTTATCATGTAGATACCTTTTTTTGGTGATTCAATGTAGAGTCGCGTGGGCTGAAGTACGAGTGGGGAGGCGGACCCAGTTGAAAAACAATTGAATTTTGGGCAGTTAGGCAGCTATTTGTGTTTCTCCTGCCAACTTTATCAGTTTCGTTTGCTACATATCACGCTTTCGCTTTTTGGTCGCGATGCCACGTAAGTGATTTCCCTCCGGCACACATTGCCGATATCCATTATTATTATGGAATGTACCGAGGGAGTGCTAGACCTGCTTGCACAGCTTATCTATACTACAACAATTTAAAACTGTAATGACTCATACGCGTGATCAACACGTGATCAGAGCTCGATCCCGGCTTCCTTCCAGTACAGCCGTATAGCGTACGACATATGTCGTTTCTGTGGCTTTGCGGTGGTCAACAGCACAGACAGAGATGGAAATAATGGCTGATTGTTCTCCGCCAGTAGAACCAATGAAATCAAAGACGCGCCTCGACCGGCAGACTCATAGGCGTCGGCAACGCATTGGAACGTGTTTCGTTGAGCGATCGCATATTGTGTGGTTTTATAAGAATTGTTGTGTGATTGTTATTGTTGTGGTTTCTGTGGTTACTGTTTTGGTTATACTTAACCATGGAGAGTTCAAATGGCACGAGTGGAAGTACTGAAAGCTAGGGAACAAGTGGACGGCTTCGTAAAGCAATGAAGAGGGACGCGAAAGAAATCGTGCTCAACGTGTTCAGTTATCTGAACAGAACTATGTCGCAGGGAGATGCACTCGCGCGTTGTGAAAGTATGACAGGCATTCCAGAGTGGACCATTCGCAGGGTGGTGCATGAAAAGAAGAAAACTGGAGCTGCTACTGATCCAAAGTTTAATTTGAAGGGACGAAAGGCCGTTAAATTGGATGACGATAGCAAAATGGCGTTAAGGCGAACCGTACATTCATTCTTCTTTAGGAATGAGATACCAACCCTCAAGGCTGTACATGCAGCGATCAAGGAAAATGAAATTATACCCCAAATGAGCGTCGAGGTAATGAGGAAATCCCTGCACGAAATTAATTTTCGTTACGAAACGCGTAATCGGAAGTCAGTATTGATAGAGAGACCTGAAATAGTCGCCTGGCGTCGAAAATACCTACGCGAAATGATTGAATATAGGCGACAAAGCAGAAAAATCTATTATTTGGACGAGACATGGGTAAATGCAGGTCACACAGTTAAAAAAAACCTGGATAGACAAAAACGTAGTGAGTAACCGACAAGCAAGCATTGAAGGTTTGTCAACAGGTCTTCGTGGACCGTCAGGGAAAGGTCAAAGATTGATCGTAACTCATATTGGTAGCGATAGTGGCTTTTTAGAAGAGTGTGACTTGATTTGTCTCTAAGAAAGGAGGTGATTACCATGACGAAATGAATGCCAGCTGCTTCGAGAGCTGGTTTCAAGGGGTGCTTCAGCGAGTTGAGCCCAACTCTGTGATCGTCATGGATAATGCTTCCTACCATAGTCGTCGAGTCGAACGTGTACCGACTATGGGGTCTGGATGATTTGTTTGCTGACCCGACTACTAGTACGAGACGTTTGGCGTTACGTCATGGCGTATCCCAGAAATCGGTTTGGCGCATCTTGAGGAAAGCAGGGTTGCATCCATACCATTATCAAAGGGTGCAGCACTTGCATGAAGATGTGGATTGGCGTCCAAGGTGCGTTATGTCTACATGGATTTTAATAAAAACAAGAGACAATCCTGAATTCCCGAAAACAATTCTGTGGACAGATGAATCTCAATTGAACGGGGTGTTCACCGGATTTAAATCCCCTCGAACATCCTCCATAGACTCTGCCACTGCTAATCCACCTAGTTCGAGTTGCTTGGAATGAGGTGCCACAACCAGGCATCAATCATCTCATTTTGTCGATGCCTAGACGTATACAGGAGTGTATTCAGATGTAGGGTCGCCCAACACATTAATTTTTTTCTTACTACTTGTCAATAAATGTTATCGTTTCATTCTTTATGTTAGACTACCTCATTGTCAAAAAATCAAGTTGAAGAAATTATTTTTTCCGAGTATAATACTTCTAATGTCACTGAGTATGTAATTCTGTGAAATTATATAGTCAGGTGAATAATGAGATAAAACATACGCAATATTATCATTTAAAAAGCACGTGCTACTACCAGAGTTATATGGCTAGTTTCACGTTTTGATTTTTTAAGTCCTTTATTATATTCTCCAAATTCCTTAACAGGGTTAATAATAAATAATTATTATTATTTCAGATCTTCAATACTACATGGTAGGAGTGTCAGTATTTTACTCGCTATTGTCTTTGGCTTGCGTATTCTTGATTATGGGAGCGTACCAGGTAACTTCTAATAATTGTAGAAAAGTAGAAAAAATAGTTTTGCTCATTTCTTTTTTTTTTTAGTGTAGAAGAGTGTTCATATATCCTTTCCTGTATTTATATATCGGCTACGTCGCGATAGGTTTTGTACAACGGACACTAATCTTCATGTATTTGATAAAACAGGCAAACGGTGATTTGGGAACAATGATTTTATACTACACCATCGAGTTTTTTATAGTTTGTAAGTATAAGTACGATCACAAAATATAGAAGATACTACGAATCTTGAGGTCAAAACCGAACTCTAAAAAATCTAAAATTAACGAAAAGGTTTTCTTCAAATACGATTGAATCATGATAAGAGACATGCGATAAACGAATTGACATAGGGTGATATTAATTAAATTTCATTAAAAAACTCTTTGAGATATACCTTCCATTATTTTCTTAACAGTTTTTCTCAGATCTAGACGAAAACTGAATATGCATTGAACCATTTTCAAGTTTCTTGGAGCTCATTTTTTTCATATACCGAAGCAGCCGCGCAGGCACAAGCCTAAATGCCAGGGATCTGCGGCTGCTATGAAGAGCTTAAATAAAATTAGTTAATCCGATTTTTGAATTGCCTATGATTAGTAGAAATGTAAAAGGCGTCCTTAGGTAGATAGACGCAGTGAGTTTCAAGCCATTTATAAGGCTTCAGCTGCTTCGAAACTGACACTCTATTCTTCAATATTTTTGAATGAAATTCGCACAGTATGTTGAGAAGATAGGGTGCTATATTAGCACTTTTTGAAATTTTGTTTTTGCACAAGTTTTATGATGGGTTGAAGTGCGCACTTTTTTTGTTCTAGTTCGCGATTTTTTTAAAAAGAACCTAGTGAAAAAATTGAAAAAGTTGCTCTATAGCACCCTGTGGGGTTTTGTTTTCAGCACACTGTGAAAATTTCATCCAAAAATATTAAAAAATAAAGCGTCAATTTCTACACTCTACAAATCGTATTTTGGACGAATTTTGTCTACTGTTTCGTGCTGCCAACTCAAGCGTTGCGGCGCAATGTACGGACTAAGATAATTTGGTGGCCCTATTTCATATAATATCGCGTAGATAAGTCGTTCTGCAAATAGGTACTCATAATCGCTATCGCTGATACTCCTCGATTTTAAAGCCGTTTTACTTCCCACGCCATTGGCGAGGAAGTATTGTAATCGCGAAAAATTTCTAAAATGAGACGTTTTTTTAAGTCATATGACATCTATCTACATCACGAAAAATTGTATCACTCATCATCAACTTGGAAATTACCGCTCGGATTTTTATGAAATTTCCACACGGGGTTACTAGTATGCCAAAGCTTTGTAGTTTTAGTCCAGTGGCAACGGTGCTATCGGCAAAAAAGAAAAAGTAACAATTGCTGAAACTCCGTTTTTGACGTTTCAGGGCTTCCTAATCATTGACATAAAAAAATTGTACTGCTTAAAAAGGGAGATTTGAAATCAGTGAAACACATTCTATTATTAAGAAGCTTCTGATCCCAGTACTTACAGGAAATTTAAGTAACGAGAATCCGACGAATAATGTGCTAACGATTTGAAAAAATCGGTACCTGCTCTATAGATTTGATACCAAGAGCCAACAGATCTGCAACTACCGACAGTAGGGAAGAATAAATTCGGATATCGCTCCAGTCAAGTATAGGGGAATTTAGCGTGGAACTTTAAAATTATCGATCTGTCAAGGAAATATGTTTTTGATGATAATTTGGTAGATTTTATACCTGCATTTTCATTTGAATTTCATGATCCGTGAAATGTACCTTTTCGTCATTACCTTCAATTCATGTTCTGCAGTTTGTGATGTTTTTCTGGATATAAGCAGGACATAATTGCCTAGGGTGCTATCAGAGCTTTATACAAAATTTTGTCTTTGCGCAAGAATTATGGTGGGTTGAAATGCTTACTATTTGTGCTCAACTTCTTGATATTTTAAAAAGATATTAGTGGATAAAATCGAAAAAGTGGATCGCTGGCACCCCGTGAACTTTGTTTTTAGCACGCTGCAAGAGTTTCATTTGGAAATACTAAAAATGAAACGGAGGCTGTGAAGTGCAAATCGGTTTTTGGGCGAAATTCATCTACTCGCGTTCCGACTAAGAACAACTGTATTCAAATAATTTTATATCTTTCCTAAAATAAATTCAAGATACTCAAATTGAAATTCGTTTATTCATGTCAATAAAAACAATTATGTTTACAAGGGTCATGTGGTAGATGGTAACAATTGAACGGGGGTCATAAAAATAGCCCTACTGAGCGAGGGCTGTGGCAAATGCTTGTTCCGGAAGTTGTTGTATCCAGTATACAACTTCTTCCCGTCCAAGTGATTGTGCACGCGTTAAGGAATACCTCAGTACCGATTGCCGGGTGGCGGTACAAGTCCGCCAACGGGCCACTTTAGGTCTATTTAACATCACTAACACGTAAAAAGAAGCTGGTAGACAAGGACCAGTCGACCGAGGCGGTACCTCCCGCTAGCTTTTCCCAGGGTGTCTTATAAATGTCCGCATGTTTCCACACCTAAGCTATGCAGTCGGTTATCTACCAAAACAAAGAAATTAATGATGATGGATCCCTCGAGCACTAAGAACTCCGGACGTAAACTCACTCCACTCTCGGAATGTCCGGGTGGAGGGTGGGCTCGAGGGAACAACATCGAAGATAAAATTTGTTTTTCGAACATCTGCGGGATCAACAGCAACATTGATGCTGTTCATCACTACCTGCAATCCAATCGTTCCGCCGTGCTTTTCTTGGCGGAGACAAAAATCTCAAAGACTGCACCGATTAACCATCTCAACTTCCCAAACTACGAGGTGCACTCCAATCTGAGAAAGAACGGGGGAGTTGTGGCTTTTGTCCGCAGCAGTCTTTCCTGCTCCAGGGATCTTTCTTTGGAATCAGACCGGAAGGACATTCTGTGACTTCGCCTCAACTCCAAAACATCACCCAAATTTATTTGCTGCCTTTATCGCTCTCCCTCGAACCATAACTGGGATGACCTACTCGAATACCTCGCCGTCCAGATCGACTTCCTGAACATCAATCACCCCGCTTCAGAGGTAGTTCTTCTCGGTGATTTCAATGCCCATAATGAGCTTTGGTTGCGCTCAAATAAGACCGATGCAGCAGGTCGTGCAGTCGAAGCGTTCGCTCTTACTCAAGGGCTGATCCAGTTGGTGGAGAGCCCTACTTTTTCCCCCGCGTCTCGTCACACGCCAGTAGCCTGCTGGATCTCTTTCTGACCACGCATCCTGCCCCTTACAGCACTGCTGTCTTGTCCCCCTGGGTAACTCAGATCACGGTGTTGTGGAGGTTAGGTTTCGGTCAGAAGCCGCTGTGGCAGCAGAAACTCGTACAGGCCGCAAAACTTGGCATTACGGACATGCCGACTGGGAGGGGCTCAGAGACTTCTTCTCTAGCTTTCCTTGGAGAGATGTCTGTTTCACTGACGCGGATGCGTCGACTGTCTGTTCTTCAATAACCGAAATTATCCGCGTCAGAATGGAGAATACATCCCTCACACAGTGAAAGTTCCTAAACCAGGGTCCAACGGCTGGTTCAACAAATGGTGTGACACTGCTCGCCAGCAGAAGATCAAGGCCCACAGAACCTACTTACAAAACCCCACTGTAGAGAACAGACAAGCCGACGTCGAGTCCAGAAACAAATATAACGAAGCGGTTCGCAATGCCAAAAACCAGCATGATATAAAAGTTAGTCACAGGGTAATGTCGCAGCGCAATGGCAGTCGGTATTTCTGGACGCTGGCCAAGCAGATTGAAAAGAACTTTTCACACAGTAGCCTTCCACCACTTACGTGTCAGGATGGAACTATTGTATTCGACTCAAAGGCCAATGCGGAAGTGCTAGCCAAGATCTTTGCTGCCAACTCCACCATGGACGTCCCCACCAACGCCCAAGTGCCGTCAATTCAAAGGGTTCCCCACACTATGCGGGAGGTAACATTCAGGCATAAGACCGTAAGACGAGTGCTCTTGTCGCTCGACATCAACAAAGCTTCTGGTCCGGACTTGATTCCTGCCATTGTACTGAAGAGATGTGCAGTGGAGCTTGCTCCAGTTCTTTCGCGTCTCTTCCAGATATCTTATGAATCCGGCATCTTCCCAGAAAACTGGAAATTTGCTCATGTACAGCACATCCCAAAAAAAGGATCTAAGACCGACCCTTACAACTACAGGCCTATAGCTCTGCTTTCTGTTATAAGTGAAGTGATGGAGAGGTGCATAAATCGCGAGCTTCTGGTCTACCTCGAACGTCACAGCTTGATTAGCGACAGGTAGTACGGTTTCCGGCACCAACGATCCACAGAGGACCTCCTAGCTTACGTCACGCAACTGTGGAGTAAACTCATCCAGTCTCATGGTGAGGCTCATTTCGTTGCTCTTGACATCACGAAAGCGTTCGATCAGCTGTGGCACGCTGCCCTCTTAAGCAAACTTCCATCCTACGGCCTCCCAGAAAAGCTTTGCAGATGGGTGGCTTACTTTATCTCTGGCCGCAAGACAACCGTCGTAATTGACGGATTCTCCTCTTCATCCCTCAACGTCAACGCGGGTGTTCCCCAGGGATCGGTCTTGGCTCCAACACTTTTTCTTTTACATATCAACGACCTCCTTTCCTGCACGATCAACCCAATCCACAGCTTCGCTGATGACAGCACTCTACATGCAGGAATTCAGAGTGACAAGCCGATCTCTGCCGCTGAGCTGGAAAAAGAAGACTAGCGACGACTTCTTCTCTGACAAGAGACCTGGAGGCTATCACTGCTTGGGGACGCAACAATCTTGTACAGTTCAATGCTTCCAAAACACAGTACTGTACTTTGACGAACAAAAAGCGTCCTAGCGCTCATACAGTTTCGTTGGACGGTCAAGTTCTACCAAAGAGCCATTCATTTCGGCTGGTCGGAGTCCAGATCACCGAGGACCTGATCTGGCACGAACACATCTCGACAATAGCTGCAGCTGCTGGGAAAAAGCTAGGCTATTTGTTTAGGGCTAAGAAGTACTTTTCTCCGCATGACCTTCTCACTCTATACAAGGCCCAGATAAGGCCTAGCCTCGAGTATTGCTCACACATTTGGGGTGCTGCCGCCCCGACTACATTGTCTATGCTCGATGCTGTCCAGAGGAGGGCGGTCCGACTGATCGATGACTCTTCTCTAACAGACAGTCTCGGGACTCTTTCGCACCGGCGGGCCGTCGGCGATCTAGCTCTTTTCTATCGCTACACCAACGGGCTTTGCTCCTCAGAGCTCTCTTCCATGATGCCGCCGCGCGATGTGCCTGCCAGACAGACCCGCCTGACTTCGGCGTCCCATCCTAACCGTGTCAAACTTCGTACATCCAGAACTGGCCGATACGACCGCTCCTTTGTCCCGAGGGTAACTAGATTGTGGAACAATCTACAAGAGGAAGCTTTTCCCAGTTCTACTAACCTTAGGCAGTTCAAAAATCGTATTAACAAAATTTCTTTGGCATCATCATAGCAGCCGCGGTGTTCCCGCATTTAGGCTTCTGCCTGCGCGGCTGTTTCGATATAAAAAAAAAAATGGCAGATCAAGTCCTCGGTGATATGTACTCCGATCAGCCGAAATGAACGGCTCTTTCTCCATCTGTTGCAATCAATGAAGCGGTTTCCTGCAATATGTATTGCACTTGTTTGTTTTTTGAAACTGTACCAGTAATATATGTTATTTTTTCTGTTTCAGTATTGCACATCTATACTTGGGCATGCGTTTATAACTTGATAAAAGCACTGAAAAGTGTGGAGGTGTCAGTAACGAAGAGGATCTTACACAAAGCGAGGATTGGATATTTAGCACCCATAAGGGTCCACACAGGGATGGCTGCATAACCATAGAAATTATGGCACTTACTACATCAAATGTTTACGAGGTTTTGGAGATACACTTTTTACAATGATATATCGCCAGCATTCTGTCGTTTTTTTAAAGATCCCCCGGTGAGAACTATTTTCACCAATTATGATGATACATGTGATATTACTTTTTTTCAAGTTCTCCCAAAACGGATATATGGGCCTTGTGTAAAGATTAATACACTAAGTGGCGTAGAAAAAAATATCCAGTTTAACCTTTTGGATGGAGTGGCTATTCTACTGATATATAACTTTGTATTCCTTGAAAGTACCAACCAGTACGAAGTACGTGTCTGTCACTTAAAATGGGGCATTTTGGATGCCACTAGATGATCAGCTGTTATGTATTGTTACGTTTTGACATGTTCGTGAAAATAGTGTATTTAGGATTTGTAGAGCTTAACATTCAACACAGGTTAATCGATTTCTTTCCTCAACGCCAAGAAAAAAGGTGCCGTGTTCATCAGTCATTTCCGCTTTAATCATGCGTTAAGTACAAAAACAATAGTCATTCCAACGTATTTTTATTTTTTAATTTTTTTTTATGAGTGGTTGACAGGGTGAAATGAGTTTAACAAAAAAAGTTTAAATAGATTTTGTTCACAATGATGTTTACAGTCTTCAACATATAAACATATGGTCAATACAATCTTTAAGCCTGCTATAGGAGTTTCCATCCTATACTATAGAGCAAGATCCCTATAATTATGACCAACAATGTTCGTTCTTTCTCTAGTTGGTTTAAATGTAACTTTGTATAGTGTACAGGGATGAATTTTTTGTTGAATCAGTTAGAATAAGCTCCGTACTTATTACTTATGTTTGTTTTATCATTCCCGTGAAATAAGTTACAATTGAACCGAGTGAGATAAAGTCGAAACTTGTTGGTGGCGCTATAATTACGATCCCCAGTTTATATTTTTACATTTTACAAATTACGGAAGGTTCGAGTAGAATTTTTTCAATCAATATGTTACGTCATCCGTTATGTTAAGTGGAAACCAAAACTTCGAAAAAGTTAGCTAAGAGTTTCAATTCTCAAACGTGGACATGTCTTATTTGAAATTACCCTCAGACGCTGGATAAAGGACAAAAGATGTTACTGCTGTTTTATCGATTTCTTTTAAATTGAAACTTGAAGGTTGTATTCATAGTCAGCTTAGAATTAGAAAAGCTAGATCACGTGATTTGAGATATCGGTTTTGGAACTATTTTCACCAATTATGATGATACATGTGATATTACTTTTTTTCAAGTTCTCCCAAAACGGATATATGGGCCTTATGTAAAGATAAATACACTAAGTGGCTTAGAAAAAAATATCCAGTCTTACCTTTTGGATGATCAGCTGTTATGTATTGTTACGTTTTGACATGTTCGTGAAAATAGTGTATTTAGGATTTGTAGAGCCCACCATTCAACACAGGTTAATCGAATGCTTTCCTCAACGTCAAGAAAAAAAGGTACCGTGTTCATCAGTCATTTCCGTTTTAATCATGCTTTAAGTACAAAAACAATAGTCATTCCCAAGTATTTTTATTTTTCAATTTTTTTTTTATCAGGGGTTGACAGGGTGAAATGAATTTAACAAAAAAGGATTAAATAGATCTCGTTAACAATGATTTGAACATATAAACATATGGTCAATACAATCTTTAAGCCTGCTATAGAAGTTTCTATCCTATTCTATGGAGCAAGATCCCTATAATTATAAGCAACAATTTTCGTTCTTTCTCTAGTTGGTTTAAATGTAACTTTGTATAGTGTACAGGGATGAATTTTTTGTTGAATCAGTTAGAATAAGCTCCGTACTTATTACTTATGTTTGTTTTATCATCCCCGTGAAATAAGTTACAATTGAACCGAGTGAGATAAAGTCGAAACTTGTTGGTGGCGCTATAATTACGCTCCTCAGTTTATAGTTTTACATTTACAAATTACGGAAGGTTCGAGTAGAATTTTTCGAATCAATATGTTATGTCATCCGTTATGTTAAGTGGAAACCAAAACTTCGAAAAAGACCATTGATCGTATTACTTTTCAAGAGCTGAAAGTTTTGATTCTCAAAGGTGGAAATGTCTTATTGGAAATTACCCTCTGACGCTGGATAAATGACAAATGATGTTACTGCTGATTTATCGATTTTTTTTAATCTGAAACTAAAAGTTTGTTAAAACGTATTCATAGTCAGCATAGTATTAGGAAAGCTAAATCACGTGATTTGAGATATCGCTTGAAAGCAAAAGCACTTGGGTCAACCAGGTTTTTCTTATAGCGACCAATCAAAACTAATACAACAGATGGAATGTTTCCTTATGTACAATTGGCCAATCACTGGACAGTCTTATAGTATTCTTTGGAAGTTTCAGAAATTTTCGAAAAAGGAGTCTTATTTTCATTTGAGAACATTATGATTTTGACTCTGCATACTATTTAACAAACAAACTCAACATGAACCTCTCGTAGTATCTATGTAGCTTTTATAAATAAGCATATGAAAATTATATTCATGTTATATGTGTTTATCAATTCAACATATCCGCAAATAAACAATAGATAACTTTAGTAATCGCAAATGGCCCTTACGTTAACGCTGAATATGACGTTTAAGTCATAAGAGGTGTTGTAAACAAAATGTTTCAAAAAAGGCTGCAAAAACATAAGTTTGAAATGAAGTCTTGCTGAGATGCAGGGTGTGTTAAACTGTATCACAATATCAAGAATCCGTAAATCCTTACGTAAATAGAACATATCGATTCAAAATTCACAATTTGTAGCGCCGTAATATGAAGAGTACCAATAGAGTGTCCAGCCCAAACAAATCAGAGACATGAAAACTGGAATCATTTGACTCCCGATAAAAATATTTTATTTATTTTTCACTAATTTATTCATGGCCTAAAAAATAAATACAAATTCACAGCACCCTGTATCTCTGAAACGACGGAAAAAGTTGCATCGACCTGTAGATGTTAATAAACAAAAAATATAGATTTTCGAATTATTTTACAAACTACCAGATTTTGTTAGAATATTATCCTCGGTCAATGAAAAATGCTTACAGGTAATTACAAAATGCTAAATTAAAAAAAAAATAATCGTACCAGTAAAATATATCGCTGGAATCGTCCAACAAAGTGGTCGGATAGTTTCTTTGAATGGAATTGAATTTTCGAAAGAGGAGTCTTTTCCTTAGAGAACATCCTGATTTTTGACTCTGCATACTATTTAACAAACAAAACCTAGATGCGGATAATGTTATCCAGCATTTCTTGAAAAAATAGCATGACATTGATTTGTTTGGTCACAATCCTTTTAATATTTAAGATTGTGCTTATCTAGACACCTATAACGTACCCGAAAACAATTGAATTAATTTATTTTCTCAAATAATTCGACAGATGTCAAATATTTGTTTTCTTGTCTGGCCACTTCGAACATTTATTGTAAAAAAAAAACTATTCGATATTTTCTATTGTTTTCGTTCTATTCGAATGTTACTGTTCAAAACTATTAATAAATAAATAAAAACGCCTTTATTTTAAACTCGGCGAAGGCCAGCTGTGCTGTTAACTTAACCGAGCATGTAAAAAGTAACAACAAGCCAAAAAGAAAAGTAATATGACAAGAAACAAGTTTTACATTACATTAATTTTAGAATATTACATAACAACAATGAACAATAATAACAACAGATGTACGTATACAAAGAAAATAAGCAATAATAAACAACTTATACTTCACAGAAGCAGTTGTTTCAGTTTTCGTTTGAACATATTAGGAGACATATCTTCAAATTGACCTATATTGTATTGGTTTAGAAGTTTGACTGATGTATAGGAAAATGAGCTTTGAGTCATGGTTTTAGTTATTTTAGGTATTTCATAAAGTACATTAAAGCGTGTTGCACGAGAGTGAATCAGGTTTCTACGAGTTAATTTTTCAAACAGATATGGAGGGCTTTTAGTTCTAATCAATTTATGAAGAAAGCAAGCAAAATGCAGCTTTTCTCGATTGAACTATTGACCTAAATATTTTTTTTCCAAAAATACAGGATAGTACTATTTTCATCCACGTTCATATTGAGCCTCAGCAACTTGTAAAACATGCAAAATTGATCATAGGTTATACTAACTGTTCAATAAATATGTTTCATTATTCATAGAAATATTTGGAACATTACTCGTATTTCTTTAGTGGTAGTGCTCTAGCTCGAAAAGAAAGCCGTTACGGACCCATGTTCATATGAACATTTATTCTTCAAATTGACCAAAGATTCGACGATCAAGGTTTGTCTACATACTTTATTAACACCCTATATATTGTTTTTATAAATAAGCATATGGAAATTGCATTCATGTAATGTGTATTAATTTATTAATCCAATATATCTGCAATTGTCATTTAAGTCACAAGAGGTCATTGGATTATAGGTAAAATCATTAACGTTTAAGAATGCAGTATTTCCGATTACTAAATCACTCTAATATTCTAAACTTCTGGACGTGCAACTTATCAATTCACAAAAACCGATTGTTCAAAAAATAAAAAGTTTATCTGTGGTCATAAAATATTTTCGATGCTATATAGTGATACTGACAGTCTAGTTAAATATTAATAAAACAGGGTGATAAATAGTTGCAACATTTGTCGTGAATAAAATTGTTCAAGAAATCTCGCAAAAACATAGGTGTGTTAAACTGTTTTTCGATATCGAGAATGAACCATTTTTACGGATCTACGTAAATAGAATATATCGCCTCAAAATTCATAATTTGTAGAAGCGTAGTACTAAAAAAATGTCCAGCCCAAATTAAACCCGAGACATGAAAACTGGAATCATTTTACTCCCAATGAAATATTTTATTTGTTTTTCACTAATTCAAGGCCTAAAAAATGCATAAAAGTCTATAGCACCCTGTATTCGTGAAACGAAGGCAAAAGTTGCATCACCCTGTAGATATTATTGAACAAACAAATATAGATTTTCGAATTATTCAACAAACTACTAGATTTTGTTAGAATGTTACACTCGATCGAAGGAAAACGCATATACGCAATTACAGAAACCTAAATTAAAAAAATAATCGTTTAGTAAAGTATATCGCTGGAATCATCCAAAGATGGAGGTGGTCGAATAATTTATTTGAAAGTGTCGTAAATTTTCGAAAGAGTCTTATTACAATTTGAGAACAATCTGATTTTGAATCTGCATACGATTAAACAAAGCTCTCATAGTACCTATATCGTTTTTATAAACGTATGAAAATTGTATTCATGTAATGTGTATTTATTAATCCAATAGATCTGCAAATAAACAATAGACAATTTCAGCAATCGGAAATGGCCGCTGAATTTGAGTCATAAGTTATAGGTAAATTAACGTTTAAAAATGCAGTGTTTATGATTACCAAAACTCTCTAATATTCTAAACTTCTGGACGTCCAACTTATCGATTCAGAAAATCCGACTGTTAAAAAAAATTAAAAGGGTGATAACCAGTAGCAATATTTGACGAAAAGAAAATTTTTCAAGAAATGTCGGAAAAACATAGGTTTGAAATGCAGGGTGTACTAAACTGTTTTTCGATATCGAGAATGAACCATTTTTACGGATCTGCGTAAATAGAATATATCACCTCAAAATTCATAATTTTTAGCAGCTTAGTATAAAGAGTACCTAAAAAAATGTCCAGCCGAAACCAAATCAGAGACATGAAAACTGGAATCATTTGACTCCCGATAGAAAATGTTTTCTTTATTTTTCACTAATTTATGGCCTAAAAACGTATACAAATTTACAGCACCCTGTATCCCTGAAACGAAGTAAAAAGTTGCATCGATCTGTAATGTTAATTAACAAAAAATATAGGTTTTATTTTACAAACTAGCAGATTTTGTTAAAATATTACACTCGATCAATGAAAAATGCTTACAGGTAATTACAAAAAACTAAATTAAAAAACTTAATCGTACCAGTAAAGTATATCGCTGGAGTGGTCTGAGGTCTGATCCCTAAAAAATAAACAATAATTAAAGTAAACTGTAAAGTGTTTGCAAAGATGTAGGAAAAGACAACATTATTTTCTTTTGAAATAATGATTGTGTTCATGCTTTAACTATACATATGATATATTGACATATTTCTTATTACCGTCTTTGTGGCTTCCCGAACAGCTTCATGAATCCCCTTGATTGCAACGTCAATTCGTTTATGTCTCTGAAAAATAAATGAAAAATTGATTGATAAACTGAAGCGTTACTGCAAAACCTTCTAGCTTCTAAAGTGTTATTTGTGACAAGACTTATGAGTCCGCGGATTTCGTCTTCTCAGGTTATTTTAGTCTAAAAAAGATCGTATAGAACTCCTTTGTAAGTTATCAAACTTACTGTGAAATTAAAAAAAAAACTGGAAAATCTTCCAGCCGGAAACTTTACAAACATAAGAGCTCGCAAATGGTCACGATTGTTCGACGTCAAGCCGAAACCGGGTCATAGGCAAAGTCATAACAGCTATCAGAAAAATATTTAAAAAAAAATTATGTATGTGTTTTGAAAATTATAGGTCTTTGAAAAAGATATAGAAATTTCACACCCTACGGCAGTCTGTCAACTCCTGTTACTACAAATATTAACTTTTTTTGGATTTCATTTTTACAATGTAATGATGAATAATGCATCTTCAAACTGGTGTCTCAACCTTACTGCCAACTTTTCTCGTTCAGGAAAAATTGCCACTTATTTCCCAACCAAGTATTCCAAAGTAAAACTTTGCTCAACTTTAACTGGCTGTACTGGAAAAAAATGTACTACGAGAGTTTGGCAAGTAACCTTAAAAGTTGGCGCATTTAATAACGATTCCAAAATGGTATAACAATTAGAAGATTACTCGTTAACTTATGCACAATTTTTATTTGAAGAAAAACTGATGAAAATTTTTCAAAATTTCCTAATTAAACAGCGATTATGAAAACGCACAAAGACCCTTAAGGATAACTGTTTGCACAACAGTGGGCGTCAAAATGCTGCTGATGATGATTTACCTTTACAGCAAATGCTCAAACTGTTTTCCTTCAGCCGCAATACACGATCGACATCTTCTTAAAAAAGATCGGGTTATTAAACGAGCGAATCCACGGTTATTAACAAACTCAGCTGCTTCCAATAGTCTTTGCCGTAGCTCAGCTACATTTTGAATCGGCTTGAAATACACTTTTTCTTTTACAGTTCCCCAGTAAAAAAATCTAAAGGATTCAAATCAGGTGATCGGGCTGGCCACGGTATTGTACCAGACCGCCTTATCCATCTGCCTGGAAAGTTTTGATCGAGATACTCTCTCACTGAGAGTGCATAGTGCGCTGGGCAGCCATCATGCTGAAACCACATGTCCCTGTAAATACTCAGTGGCACATCCACCAATAAATTTTGTACATGATTTTTCAAAAAATCCAAATAAACTTCAGCAGTCAAAGTCTCTGGGAACTCAAACGGACCGATTATTTTACCATTTAAAATTCCTGTCCAATGGTTTATCTTGAAGCGATATTGAGATTTATCTTCTCTCATCAAATGTGGGCTTGCTACGTGCCACTCGTGTAAGTTATGCAGGTTCATGTACCCATCTTTCTTAAATGTGGTCTCATCCGACCATAAAATTTTTTCAAAGAACTGTGGATCTTTCCTGTGTCTTTCTAACATTGTGCGACAAAAAGCAACTCGGGGCTCATAATCCCGGGGCAGGAGAGGTTGAACACGCTGTATGTGGTATGGATGAAGCACATCACTTACTTGCTATTGCACACTTTGATACCGATCAGTACTCCTTCGTTTACTGCGCATCTTTACATGTTCGTGCTTGTTGATTTCGTACTGTTACTAATTTTGGATTCGTGAACTGGACTGTTGATCGCTTGTGATTTGGATTTGGGCTGTTTAATTGCTCTTCAAAACAACATTTGCTTTCCTTAGACTATCTTTGATAGTGTGATTGTGCGGTGCCGCTATGTCCGTGTACACCGTACAAGAATATGCTAACATGCACCTCATTTATGGGGAATGCAGATGCAACGCTAGTGCTGCAGCGAGACTTTACTGTGAGAGGTACCCGAATGCAGCTCGCCATCCAGATCATCGAGTGTTCACAAATGTGCACCGCTTACTGTTCTCAGAGGGCCAACTACCAAAACAATCACACGGTGAGGGAAGATCTTTCCTTCCTTACGAGGACGTGCTGCTAGGAGCTGTCGAAGAAGACCCGAGTACTTCAGTGCGTGCAATAGAACTAAAAACAGGTGTGTCCAAAAGTACAGCCCATAGAATCTTGCAAAAAAACGTGCTCCATCCATACCACGTACAGCGTGTTCAACCTCTCCTGCCCCGGGATTATGAGCCCCGAGTTGCTTTTTGTCGCACAATGTTAGAAAGACACAGGGAAGATCCACGGTTCATTAAAAAATTTTTATGGTCAGATGAGACCACATTTAAGAAAGATGGATACATGAACCTGCATAACTTACACGAGTGGCACGTAGCAAACCCACATTTGATGAGAGAAGATAAATCTCAATATCGCTTCAAGATAAACCATTGGACAGGAATTTTAAATGGTAAAATAATCGGTCCGTTTGAGTTCCCAGAGACTTTGACTGCTGAGGTTTATTTAGGTTTTTTGCAAAATCATTTAGAAAATTTATTGGAGGACGTGCCACTGAGTATTTACAGAGACATGTGGTTTCAGCATGACGGCTGCCCAGCGCACTATGCACTCTCAGTGAGAGAGTATCTCGATCAAAACTTTCCAGGCAGATGGATAGGGCGGTCTGGTACAATACCGTGGCCAGCCCGGTCACCAGATTTGAATCCGTTAGATTTTTTTTACTGGGGAACTGTAAAAGGAAAAGTGTATTTCAAGCCGATTCAAAATGTAGCTGAGCTACGACAAAGACTATTGGAAGCAGCTGAGTTTGTTAATAACCGTGGATTCGGTCGTTTAATAACCCGATCTTTTTTAAGAAGATGTCGAGCGTGTATTGCGGCTGAAGGAAAACAGTTTGAGCATTTGCTGTAAAGGTAAATCATCATCAGCAGCGTTTTGACGCCCACTGTTGTGCAAACAGTTATCCTTAAGGGTCTTTGTGCGTTTTCATAATCGCTGTTTAATTATGAAATTTTGAAAAATTTTCATCAGTTTTTCTTCAAATAAAAATTGTGCATAAGTTAACGAGTAATCTTCTAAGTGTTATACCATTTTGGAATCCTTATTAAATGCGCCAACTTTTAAGGTTACTTGCAAAGCTCTCGTAGTACATTTTTTTCCAGTACAGCCAGTTAAAGTTGAGCAAAGTTTTAATTTGGAATACTTGGTTGGGAAATAAGTGGCACTTTTTCCTGAACGAGAAAAGTTGGCAATAAGGTTGAGACACCAATTTGAAGATGCATTATCCATCATTACATTGTAAAAATAAAATCCAAAAAAAGTTGATATTTGTAGTAACAGGAGTTGACAGACTGCCGTAGGGTGTGAAATTTCTATATTTTTTTCAAAGACCTATAATTTTCAAAACACATACATAAAATTTTTTTAAATATTTTTCTGATAGCTGTTATGACTTTGCCTATCACCCGGTTTCGGCTTGACGTCGACTTCTGGGACACCCTGTATATTTAATGTGCTGTCTCTAATATTTATAAGTACGAATAGTCAACGGATTATAAACTTTTAGTAGAGTAGAAGGATATGAATTCAAGAGAAGCAATTATTTGTCGTGGTGCTTTATATAATTTATCGCGAGTTACTTCAATACATTTTGAAAATATATTTCAGATCGGAATTTTGAAATAATTGCCAGGTACTTTAGAGATGTTTGTTGCCGTCTACTGAGGATTCGGCTCTTGTTTCAGAATATTTATAAAGAGAAGCAATTATTTGTTGTAGTGCTCCATATAATGTATCGCGAGTTACTACAATAGATTTTGAAAAAATATTTCAGATCAGAATTTGGAATAATAGCCAGGTACTTTAGAGATTTTTGTTGCCGACTACTGAGGATTTGGCTCTTGTTTCAGAATATTTATCAAGAGAAGCCATTGTTTGTTGTAGTGAGAGTTACTTCAGCAGATTTTGAAAAAAATATTTCAGATCGGAATTTTGAAATAATAGCCAGGTACTTTAGAGATTTTTGATGCCGACTACTAAGAATTTGGCTACGGTTTTAGGACATTTAGTCAAAAACAATTAGCTAGAGAGTTGGTCAATTTAATATCGTAGCAGTTTCTGGTGATAATCCACACGTTTTCGCTTTTTAATTTTTTTTATACTGAAGCAGCTGCTTAGGCAGATACTTAAATATCGGGGTACTACGGGGCTATAAGGAGCTTGAAGATACATGTTGATCCGACTGTTGAACTACTCAAGGTTAGTAGAACTGCGAAAAGCCTTCTCCGTAAGATTGTTTTACAATTTCGACAACCTGGGAACAAAGGAGCGGTCGTATCGGCCAGTGTTGCACGTATGAAGTTCGACACGCTTAGCACGGGGTGCCGCAATATGAAGGGATCTTCTTAGCCCTAAACAAATGAGCTAGCTCTTTCCCAGCAGCTGTCACGATATACCCTGGATATTCGCTTGATTGTTTAAACCTACCTGACAGGTAGATGATTTTCAGTTCGTTTTCCTAAACATCCTCCAGCTTTGAGAAAACAGCTCCTACCAAATCTTCCTCCTAATATGAGAGAGCTCGACGAACCCTTTTCTAAAAAGGAAAAAACATGTTGTAGGACTGGTGCATATAGATTTATATAAGATAATAAAGCATTTATTGCCCAACAGTACAAATACCATTTAGAGAGCAATAGATAGTACAATGGTTTAATTCAGAGCTGTCCAACTTAATGTCGCCCAAAGGCCACTTCAAAAAAAATTTCTATACAACATTATTACTGAGTTTTAATAGGTATATACTATACAAAAATAGTTTTTCTATTATTTTTATTTATTCAAAAAATATGAAATTACAAAAAAATCAGTGGGACATTTGAGGATGTTGGTTTTCTAATACTAATGCATCAATATTAACATTAATATTTGTTGTTGATAAACGAAGTAACTGAGTAAGTGACTTATCAGAGAGGGAACATCTATAGTTTGACTTGATAAATTTCATGTTGGAAAAGCTGCTTTCGCAAAGATACGTGCTTCCCATCATTGATCCCATTGTAAGTCCTAAGTTTCGCAAGTTGGGGTATCGTTCTCCTGGCAGTAACTTAAAAAAGTCCAAGCCATTTTTTTGTTCTTCCTTGGCAAAAAGGATCTGATTGCAAATCACACAATTCAAGGTCTGCTCTGCTTACGTTCTCAACAGAAATTGTTAGTGGCTGAGTAAAAACTGAAATGTCGCTTTCGATTTTTTTAAAGTCACTAAATCGATTTTTGAATTCTTCTGCAATTGTGTCAATGTATTTTATATGAGGTAAATATGAAACTTCCTCAAAATCCTTCATGACTTCGAAATGTTCTTTACAACTTGGAAAAAATGAAAAATCATTTTTTGTAATGAAGACTTGAAAAGCTTAATTTTATTCTTAAACCCATTTATGTGTCCAAATAAGTTGGCAATATTCTGCTGTTTTCCTTGTAGCTTCAAATTCAATTCGTTAAGGTGAGATGTCATGTCTGTTAAAAATGCAAGGTCTGCTAAAAATTGTGCATCTGCCATTTGATTTTCCAGTTCCGTAGTGTCGGACTTCACTTCATTTTTAAGGAAAATAGGAATTTCCTTGCGTAGAGCGAAAAATCGTTGCAAACACTTTCCGGCGCTTAACCAACGAACATCGGTGTGAAGTAACAAGTCCCCATATGTAGCATCCACTTCGGCCAAAAAATCACGAAACTTTCTGTGAGTCAAAGCACGATTGCCCCCTCTAACAATATTAACCAACTTTCATGACATTTATTTGACGTAAAGATTTTCCACATAAGCTCTCTTGGTGAACAATACAATGTATCATAGAACAGTTGATGCTGTTTTGTTTCAATAGTCCTGCAAATCCAATTTCAGTCCCTGTCATAGCTCTGGCGCCATCAGTGACAATACAGGAACATTTATCAAATCCCCCGTAGTCTGACACCAACTTATTCACAGCTTCAAAAATATCTGTACCCTTGGCTGTACCATGGAGAGGAATAAGGTCTTGAATAGTTCGGATAAAAATTACAAGCTGGTTAATGTCAGACAGATCAGTGCTTTCATCCAGGCATAGCGAAAAATATTTACATTTTTCAACCACGTCACGCAATTTTTTGGATACATGTTCATTGATATGGTCCACCCGTCTTGCAATTGTTTGATGCGATACAGAGACTGTTTCAAATTTTTCGGCAAGTTTTAATTCATTGAATTGTTTCGCCATTTCTATTGCACACTTTTTGATAAGCACTCCATCACTAAAAGGTTTGTTTTGCTTTGGCAATTTCCAGCGCTATTTTGTAAGAGGCGGCAATAATGCACTTGTTATCAGAGTCAGATTTTTTGAAAAAACTTGTTTGTTGTTTTAGTTTTTTCTTGTATTCCGTTATGATAGCCTGCCTCGAGTCCCCTGAATATTGCCGAAACGTTTTCTCGTATAACGTAGTGTAATGTCGTTTCATATTATATTCTTTAGAAACCGATAGTACTTGCATACAAACAATGCACTGAAGTTTATTATTATTGTTTGAGATTAAATATTCTGATTCCCAACGGTCATTATAAACTCGATGTTCGTTCGTTTCTGTGAAGACATATTTCACTTAAAAAGGCTTTAGAGTTGCTGTGTACTGAAACGCACTAGCACTGGAACAAAACTGCCTGTCCCGCTTGATTCAACCTTCTTATATACGCGCCCGTGGCTTTTCGAATATTCGGGGATGATCGAGAGATCGGTCCAATTTCCACTAAACTCGCTGCGGCCTGCTATCGGTCGCCAGTGGCGTCACATGTTATTGTATTTTTTCGTTAATGTAAGAACTGTGCATATTCGGTATTTGAGAGTAATTTATACATGTGATGTATACATGACCCGTGAAGCGGGCCGCAAGAAAGGAGTTCGCGGTATGTTGGACATATATACAGGGTGTTTCAGTTTATTGTTGCATAACTTTAAGTTTTGATAGAACTTTTAAAATGAATGCATAAAGTATATATAAACATGGGTCGAAAAATGCGTGGCTTCCGAAATATAGGGTGTGAAAATTGGTATACAAGGGTTTTTTGGTACGACAAAACGAATCATGGGCATAGTTTTACTGTAGCCGCTAGAGGGCGCTCTCTACTGTACCTGTAATGTATAAAAATGACCTAAAAATTTTTCTTAGTGCAATTTTTTGCTTTTTGAATAAAAAAACTGATTCTTCGCACTTTTCAACATAAAAAAGCTCTCTCGTGAATTTTCGTTATAGTTAGCCGTTTTTGAGATATTTCGATTTTTAAGGTTCGATGCATTTTTAATTATTTATGATAAAATAACGTTAAAAAGTCAGTATCTCGATAATTTTTAGAAGTAGGCTGTGCCTGCAAATATTTTTGAAATTGAAAGCAGAATAAGGTTAAACATCAATTAGTTGACAGTTAGTTTTGTTGTCTGTTGAAACCTGAAACGTTTTTTTGCAATTGTGAATGCACGAAATTTAGTTTTTTTTTGTAAGTTTTATAAAAATGCCATCTTTATTCTCCAATCAAGAGTTAGCGGATATTCATTTTGTGTATGGCTTTGTAAATGGAAACGCAGCAGAAGCAGCCAGATAATACGCACGAAGATTTCCAAACAGACGACATCCAACTCGCTCAGTATTTGTAAGAGTGCATCGCCAAATAATTAAAAATGGTTTTGGAAATCTCCAAAGGGATCAAAACATAAATGTTCGTCAGCGCAGATTTACCCGTATGATTCTGCGTGAGTTTGATAGAGATCCGACCACAAGTGTTAGGAGAGTTTCTGGTGCCTTGGGAATTTCAGCTAGCCATGTTCACCATGTTCTTAGAAATGACCATAGATGTCCTTACCATTTGCAACCTGTGCAAGGACTACAGCCAGAGGACGGAGAACGAAGAATCATATTTTGTCAGTGGATTCTTGATAGAACTGATAATAATAGGGAGTTTTTAAGTAATGCTTTATGGACCGATGAGTCATGCTTCACTAGTCGTGGAGTGGTAAATTTTCATAATCAACATATTTGGTCGCATGAAAATCCGCATGCAGTTCGGGAAAGAAATTTTCATCATGAATTTAGTGTGAACGTGTAGATTGGTATCTACCGTAATCCACTATTTGAACCCTACCTTTTGCCTGCAAGGTTAAATGCCGAGACCTTCTTGGAATTTTTAAAGGCTGAACATGCACATGTATGGGATGATGTTATGTTAGATTTAAGAAGATTGGCCTGGTTCCAGCTTGATGGTTGTCCAGCTCATTATTCGAGAATAGTTAGAAACTGGCTGGACGAAAATTATCCAGAAAGATGGATCGGCCGTGGAGGACCAGTCGCCTAGCCTCCACGATCCCCTGACCTAAATCCATTAGATTTCTTTGTGTGGGGATTTCTAAAAGAAAAGGTGTACCAGACTCCCGTAACCACAAGAGATATGCTAATAGACAGAATCAGGAATGCATGTGATGAAATAAGGCCTTATTTGAAAAATGCTATACCACGTTCGATCATTCGTAGATGTGAATTGTGTATTGAACAATTGGGTTTACATTTCGAGCAACTACTTTAGATTTTGTATGTTTGTCCTAACTATCCAATAGCATTTTAGTTGTAAATAATTAATTTAATTTGTTAAAAATAATATTGGAAAATTAAACAAATTAATATTCTGTTTTTTTTGTGTTTATTTGGAGTTAGGAACTATTGCTGTGTTTAAAAACACAATCTAAACGATCATCTTAATTACTTGTAATGTCCAAATCGAAAATTTAGAAAAAAATATTATTTTGCCATAAATAATTAAAAATGCATCAAACCTTAAAAATCGAAATATCTCAAAAACGGCTAACTATAACGAAAACTCACAAAAGAGCTTTTTTATGCAGAAAAGTGCGAAGAATCAGTTTTTTTATTCAAAAAGCAAAAAATTGCACTAAGAAAAGATTTTCGGTCATTTTAATACACTACAGGTACAGTAGAGAGCGCCCTCTAGTGGCTACAGTAAAACTATGCCCATGGTTCGTTTTGTCGTACCAAAAAACCCTTGTATACTAATTTTCACTGTTGTACATCAAATATTGTTCGAAAAATTTAAAAAAAAAACTATTTTAGAAAGTAAATTTAAACACCCTGTATTTCGGAAGCCACGCATTTTTCGAAAAATGTTTATATAGACTTTATGCATTAATTTTAAAAGTTCTATCGAATCTTAAAGTTATGCAACAATAAACTGAAACACCCTGCATATATACAGGGTGACTTCGAAGTTGAGTCATTAATTTTAACAGTGAGTAGATCTGATCAAAAGAAATCTTTTTTCCTTTAACATTTTTCTGGTAAAATTAAATTAACGAAGTTATAGCCCTTTAGAAGTTTGAGTACCGCCCTGTCTCAATAATAATATTATATGCTCGTGTTTGGCAACAACGGATATAATCCGCATCGGTTCATCGCATCGGAAACAAAAAAGCGAAAGAATTTGAAATGCTTATCACGATGTTTTTAGTTGTATTCAGTCGTTAACACGTGAGTGAATAGTGGTATTTGTTGCGTGGCTCAAACGAA